TTATGAACCAATCTAGAAAACTTTCATTTTCTCTGCCAGGAAATAGAATTCCAAATTTTCCTTCATGTTGGTCGCCGACACAATTGTCACATAATTGTGGAAGGTATTAAGAAATATGTTAATCATTTTTCATATGCCTAAGAAGTAGAAAACTTTTACTTTTTCCTTAAAGAAGGAGATAATAGTTCTATAGTATTAGTTTATAATTTCCTTTAAATCAATTTAATGTTGCATTAGTAATAGAACCACGTTTATAAGATAATTAACATGTTTCATTAATTGATTAAAGCAAATCATTATAAAACTAATTCTCCTTTATAAAATGCACGTCACTTTATATGTAGGGTAAGGCTTTGGTACCCTTTGTTCATATCCATCTCATTCTATAGGAAGTACAATGGAGATATTTATTCTTAAAATATATTAACTTCTTAGGTTCTTTGTAATTAGCTTTCCTCCTTTGAAGCCTCAAAGTTTTCATACCAAGTGCCTTACTCGAAATACTTTGACTGGTTTCTAACCGTGACCAACATGGTTCCTGGCATGACACTATGATTGTTAACATAGTCCTACATGCTTTCTCACAAGTCCCACACAATTTACAAAACAAAATTTTTGCAATTTTCTCAACTGTAAACCAATTGATATATGTCTCGTAATAGAGAGTATATGCATGGGTCTATACACTTTCCCGCATATCAATTCTATTGGACTGCAGCATGGAAATGCCTCCTGGAAGATGTTGGTTTGAAAATGCTACAATCGCACCTTCTAACTTAAAAGAATCCAACCAAATTGGTCTATATATCTCCAACAGCCCCAACACATTGCATGAACCTAATATTATACAAAATCATAGGATATACGTTTTGACATAAAATGGATAGCAAAACTTCCTGATTTTGATGTACACTTCCCATTAATTTAGAAAACTTAATATCTAAGTATCAAATTTTCTAACAAACATCGACCCAATCCAAAATCTGGTTTTTTTGTAACCGATGGACATCTTCATAGCTTTAAGACCCGTTTATGATAGAAAACATCAAATGGTTTCTTAACAGTACCTTGAAGACATCCAAATCTGCATAATGACAATGGAACTCTTAACCGCTTAGTTTGGTCTGCAATTCGTCATGGTGAATAACATAGCAACTTTTCGTTTAAAAAGTTACATACAAGATTTTGTTCCAACGCATGGAACTACCACAAATATATACACAGGCTATGACAACTCTTAATTGATTATGACATATCCAAAAGTCAGCTGAGTGGCTTCGTAATTTCTTAGAAGATATTCCAAATTGGCCAAAGCCTATGCCCGCAATATGTATACATTGTGATAGTCAAGCGACGATTGGAAGGGCACAAAATAATATGTATAATGATAAGTCTCGACACATACATGGGAGACATAATACCGTAAGACAACTGCTCTCAAGTGGTATAATTACCATTGACTATATAAGGTCAAGAGATAATTTAGCAGATTCGTTTACGAAAGTTTTGACAAGAGAGCTAGTTAACAAATCATCGAGGGGGAATGGGGCTAAAGCCTATATCTCAATAGTTGCCATTATGGACACCCAACCTAGCTGACTTGAGATCCCAAGACCTAGGTTCAAAGGGACATCTAAGTTATGTGTGACTGAAGTGCAAGCATTGTGGGAATTCCATCCCTTGCCCATTCCTATGATGATGCAATGCTCCCTACATCGTGTATGGTTAAGTTAAGCTTTTAATGATTCATGGTACTTGGAAAACTAAGTGGAGTATAGCAGGATACTCTTTATAGGAAGTCATATATATCAGTACGAAATGAGGCCGTTTTTATGAGAATTGCAAGGCTCAATTCTCTAAAGTATTGACGAACACCAGGAGTGGTCCATGGCCGAAAGGACACAACCTAGAACCAAATGTGTATGAAAATGTATTATGTGAGTAATATTGTTTCGGTCTACACGACGGTTGAATAATTCAAGACATCATGTTCACTAATTAGCTAGTAAATCCGATTTGACTTCACTATGGAAGGTTCAAGGCCAAAAGCTACCTATCTTGATGTGGTTCCTTTTCAACCTAATTCTTTGAAGTGACTGCCTTGTACATTTGCATTCATGTGGGGAATTGTTAGAAAATTATAATATTTATATTTAATTTTTTAATAATTGAATGAAAATTAAATTGTGGGACCCGTGACTTTAAGTATATGACTTTTATGAATTGGTATGTATCAATCGGGAATAGTCATGATCTTAACATAGGAAAAATAAAATATTATTTATTTTATTTGTGAATAAAATAATAATACTTTATATGAAAAGTTGCATTATTTCATAGTAATTGAAATATTGCACTTCTTGGCTTATGATTGTAACAAGAAAATACATATTTGCTGATATTTTTCAGTCACATCTTTTCTGAACAGAGGCCTTATTGCCTATAAATAGAGAAGGTCCTAAAACATTTCATTCATTCCAATTGTTATTAGACAATAGTAGTTTTTAGAGCATTCATAGCATTGTATTTTCAGATATACAGTGAGTTAGTAAGAGAGAGTTCATACACAAGTTTATGTTTGCTTTTCTTGGGGGATTGTAGTGCTATTTCAACAAAAAGTCGATCATTGTATCCTGTGAGACGTTTGCCAAGAAAGTCTTAAAAGCACTTGTGAGGAGACAATTTTGTTTTAACGAGATATAACCAAATTCTAGACTTAATCATCTGTAAAGTATTCTTAATTTTCCTTGTCGTTATTTCCTTGTATTTATTTCCAATTATATAGTGAATTTTTATTTTTTTACCAACATAAGATTCATATGTAGTAACTAATAAACAGTTGATAATCAGTTATATACACACATATCATATGGTATTGTTTGCGTAACACGTCATTATCATCCAGAAGCATTAAATCGACAATCTTATTGTATGGATGACGTTAATTTCAATCTGCAACTTGACTTAATTTAATCCATCCACGTAGCCGATGATTTGTCCAACGTAAAAATCGTGTCAAACTTACCCTTCTTCATGGTCGGCTCCAGTTTAGTACTATTTTTGTTATATTGCAGCCAGTGAACTTTTTTCTTGATAGACTTATTAGAGCAATAATATTCAAGTTTTCCAGCAAAACTGAACTGCATCCATCTTCTTTTGCTTTTCATTTCTTCTTTCAGCCAGATCGTTAGAACTCAGAAACTACTGTATAACCTTAAAACACAGAGGTACATGGTTTGGAATCGACATGGAAATAGTCAGTCTTGCATGTGATGTTTGTTTAGCAAGAGATGCAATAAAACAGTTTTCTGGGTGGTTATCCCAAAAACCAGAACACAGAAAAATTAAAACAAAACAAAAACGTGACTAGGAACTTAGGAGGAGGATCTCATGGGGAAACCCCCTGGATGGATATAGATTTACAAATTATTATGCGAGACATGATGCAATTGGTTGATTGATTGATTATTCGTGAAGAGATTTGTGTGAGCAAACAAAATCATGACGCTATTTCTTAAATTATTATTCGTGTTAACATAGGAAAGGTTCTTATCCACAACCACAAGCTCTCTCTCTCTCTCTGTGATGTGGTGTGGGTCATGTGGACCTGTGTGGTTGGCAATCAAACTGAGAAAAATTGAAGAAAAAACAAAAGCTGAGGCATGCAAATAGGAAGCAGTCTGCCCTGGACATGAGTCAGCACCTTAGGAAGCTGTCTGCCCTGGACATGAGTCAGCACCACAACACAAGCACCTGCTTCCGCCACTCCAATCCAAACCGCCCCTTCCAATGTCCAATCATTGAATGCTTGAATGGAAATAAAAAAAAGGTAAGAGAGAGAGAGAGAGAGAGAGAGAGAGAGAGAGAGAGAGAGAGAGAGGGGGAGACAGAGAAACGGGTTTTGTGGTTGGTGGAAGTTAGCGTGAGGTGGCTTCCTCAAATTCCATGTAAACTGTAATGTAAGGTACCACCCAACTCTCCCTATGACTCACCCCAATCTCCACATCCACAAATAATAATCTCTCAAATATCTGTGTGTTGTCCACGCCACGCACACATTTATTGAACTCACGAAAGTCTTAAACAGTGGATTATCTTAAACAACACGATGAGTACTAGAATTCTTAGTCAAATGTTGTGAACTAGTTCAATGTATATTTCCTACAATAATATCTCTCAATAACCCTTTTTATTTTTAAGGAATTTCAATACTAATTGGTTCTTGTACATTACTTTTGCGTTTTTATAAACCTTAAATTCTCGTTTTATTTATCTAATAAGAAGAATGACACGTATGCACGCGAATCGGGATACATGTACAAATATGACAGAAATTAATAACACCAAATTTCTTAATAATATCTTAGATATATTCATCTCATCTCTTTGTTTTTAGTTTGAATTATTGCAAAAGATAGATATCCTTTTCATTTAGGAAAGATATTATATATACATATAAGGACAACGGATAAGCCAGTTCTATATCTTAAACGAGACAACAAACAACCTCATCATAAACCTTAACACATATCGACATGGCTGTCCTATTAATAACTAAGAAAATACCTAAATACCATTTGGATAAGGAATTTATTTATAATCACAAAACACTCTATATTTGCATATTTGCCCCCTTTTTTCTTTTGAAAAAAAATATATAATTATTTAGCGGCGCACTACTTTGGCCCCCTCTGCCATCGACAAGTGGCAGATTATTTTTGTCATTTTATTATTATTATTATTTTAGGAAAAACGCGTCTGAGGTCGTATTTTGCGTGTATATAAAGCTTCGCTTCGAGGTTGCCGTTACCTTAACTTCTCAAAACTCATCATCTGCATTCTGAAGCTGTCAAACTTTTGTGGATTTTCCATAAATTAAAGGCGAAACAAGCCAATTTCCAGTTTTTTCTTTTGTGGGTTGTTGATTTTCTTAGTCTATTGCTTTCGGGTTGTGAAAAGTTTGTGTTTTTCGAGTAATTGGGTATTTACCGTATTGGAAAATGGAGGTTTCGGTGTTTCGCGGCTCTCAGGCGACCGTCGGGAAGGCCGAGTTGGCGCGAACGGAGCTCGGGTTCTGTAAATTGAATGGTAATTTGAAGACCAACATCTGTTTTGGTCAAAGCATGACCTGGAAAAACGCCCGGCTTCAGCTTACTGTGAGGGCCGTACAATCTGAAGCGGTTCGGTCCGATAAAGTTTCGGGTCCTGCCAGAAGATGCAAACAGGTAAGAGGTTTCTTCTCTGTTTTTTGTGTTAATTTTAAGTTTGGTTTCTCAGAATTTAAAGGAAATGAAAAAGTAGTTGTTGGTAGTATTAGGACTGTTCGAAATTTTATGATACAGCTGACCATAAATTCATGAAATTTTAGAAGGGTTTTCAGTAAACATGATAATTTTGATGTTTCGTTGTTTCGTAGTTCTTGGTTTGAAAGGCCAGAGTTACTGTTAGAACTTAGAACCTGTTTTTAAAGGGCCAATACCGATTGGGTATGACTTCAAACACCTAATCAATATAAAACCAATCCTCTGTTGCATTTTTTGCAAAAGATGTACAGCTGAAGTGCTTGAATCACTCGAGGAAAATTTTAGTATTTAGTTGTGTAAAGCTTGATCTTTGTGTTATGCATTGAGTTTTTTCTTGTCATGATTGATTAGTTAAACTTAGTTGACTTATTTTTCTTGCTATTTTACTTTTGCAGAATGATGGAGTAAGATTATTTGTTGGGCTACCCCTAGATACAGTTTCAGACTGCAATGCGGTGAACCATGCTAGAGCAATTGCAGCTGGGTTGAAGGCTCTGAAGCTATTGGGGGTGGAAGGAGTAGAGCTCCCAGTCTGGTGGGGAACGGTTGAGAAAGAAGCCATGGGGAAATATGAATGGTCAGGCTACCTTGCTGTTGCAGAGATGGTTCAGAAAGCCGGTCTCAAGCTTCATGTGTCACTCTGCTTCCATGCATCTAAACAACCAAAGATCTCACTCCCTGAGTGGGTATCTCGCCTTGGTGAGTCCCAACCTAGTATCTTCCTTAAAGATCGGTCAGGGCAGCAATACAAGGAGTGCTTATCATTGGCTGTCGATGAACTTCCTGTTCTCAATGGAAAGACTCCAATCCAAGTTTACCATGACTTCTGTGAAAGCTTTAAATCTTCATTCGCGCCTTTCCTGGGTTCCACAATAACGGTAAGAAATCCTGAACCCTCAAACTTTATATTGAAAGATTAATCATCCTACTCTCGTTGGTTTCACATTGGTTCTGAACTGTCAATCTCTCCTGTATTGCTGTATTGTTAAATTTCAGGGCATCTCAATGAGCCTAGGACCCAATGGTGAGCTTCGATATCCTTCTCATCGCCGACTAGTCAAAAATAAAATTCCTGGAGTTGGAGAGTTCCAATGTTATGATGAAAGCATGCTTAGCAATCTTAAACAACATGCTGAAGCCACCGGAAATCCCTTGTGGGGTCTTGGCGGTCCTCATGATGTTCCAAACTATGACCAGTCACCGAACTCTAGCAACTTCTTCAAGGACCATGGGGGATCATGGGAGTCTCCTTATGGTGACTTTTTCCTTTCCTGGTACTCAAACCAGCTCATATCTCATGGAGATCGTCTCCTGTCCCTTGCCTCTTCAACTTTCACAGACGCGGAAGTGACAATTTATGGCAAAGTCCCACTAATTCACTCTTGGTACAAAACAAGGTCCCACGCTTCTGAGCTAACATCTGGCTTCTACAATACATCCTCTAGAGATGGTTATGAAGCAGTTGCCCAGATGTTCGCAAGGAATTCGTGCAAAATTATATTGCCTGGAATGGACTTATCAGACGAACGTCAGCCACAGGACTCCCTTTCAAGTCCTGAGTTATTACTATCACAAATTACAACAGCTTGCAGAAAGCATGGGGTTGAGATTGCTGGGCAAAACTCATCCGTTTCAGGAGGTCATGGGGGCTTTCAACAGATAAAGAAGAATTTGATGGGAGAGAATGTAATGGACCTGTTCACTTATCAGAGAATGGGAGCTGATTTCTTCTCACCAGAACATTTTCCTTTATTTTCGAAGTTCGTTTGGACCCTCAATCAACCGGCACTGCAGTCAGATGATCTACCCATCGAAGAAGAAGTTGTTGAGTCTGTACGTTCGAATTCAGAATCAGTCACCCACATGCAAGCTGCGTAGTAGGAGTTAGAATTATAATGTATATATAAAATTTGTATACTATACTTGTATCTGATGAGTATTGGGTAAAATTATATAAGCTAAAGCATAACAAGAATGGCCAGTATATTACTGGCATTACCCTGTACCTCCTGTACCAAAAACTATGGTCATGTGAGCAATTTTAGCTTTGTTTGGATTGGATGGTAAATGTTCATGTTACTTTCACTCTCGTGTTCTACAGCGTCTTCATATTTTATTAACCCATTTTTTCATCTTCTAGTTTGAAACACTCCAAATGCCCAAATCACATACCAAACCCCAAAATGTCAAAATTGAATACTCCCAATGTTGATGTCCAAAATTAGATTCAACTTAGATAGAAAAAGTGTGGAGTCGTCAATAGGACTAGGGGTTGTGGGCCTTCGGCCACAAATCGATCATACAAAAGAAAGACGGAAGAAGAAATCATTAAGCTTGGGGTATCGATGTGGTATCTGTTGAAGGCTCTCTGATGCTTAAGTTAGCAAGTGTGGGGTACCCAATAATTTTGACAGGGTAACAGTAAAGGTAAAAAGTAGTTACCTTTTTACTTGGAAACTATTCTTCCTTTATATAGAAATGAAAGTGGGAGTTTGCACAAAGTGTCGATTTGGACTTTGTGCAAATCACTATGGTGATGACACGTGTCTAAGGGTTTAAGTTATATAGTTGGAAGCTTCGGCAACCGTCTTCGGTAGGCAATTGCCGCATTGAAGGAAGTTATCTCTTTTGCAGACTGAGATAATGATGACATCATCAGTGTTTTTGGGGATTCTCCTGAAAGTATTTTTTTTTCTTCTGCAACCAGTGTGTCTGTCTATGCACCAGTCCCTCAATGCCGAATGTGCTCGGTTGATTATGGCAAAAACAGTAGTCCTTTAAGTTGCTGATCAATGAGTGGCTTCTGAGTTGGGAACTTGTAAAATGCTAAGTAATCAAACCGAGTAGTTCGGCATGGCGAATGCCGTAGGTAGTCCAATAGTCCCCAAGTTTAGAAGCTAGAAGTCGCTTCGGCATTGAGGTAACATGTCATGGTCTGAAAAGCAGTCTTGAGATAGACGGTGACCGGATCGGTATGTCGGTTGCGGAAGGATGAGGTCGTGTTAGTCCAATTAGAAGGGGGAAAATAATCCTAGCATGAGTCGTACACGAGTCCCTTATGCGATCGTCATGAAGCCTGCCGATCAGTAGGGTTCACGTCATGCACGAGTCATGCGTGAGTCATGCATGAGTCCCCTTATGCAATCAGCATAGAACCTATCGATCGGTATAGATTGCATCAGGCATGAGTCATGCGTGAGTCCCCTACGCTATCAGCACGGAGCTTGCCGATTGGTAGGGTTGACATCATGCACGAGTCGTGCGTAAGTCCCCTATGCAATCGACACATAACCTGTCGATCAGTAAGGTTGACGTCATGCACGAGTCATGCGTGATTCCCATTACGCGATCGGCACGAAGCTTGCCAATCTGTAGGGTTGATGTCATGCATCAGTCCCCTTACTTGATCTACAGAAGCCTGCCGATCGGTAGAAGTGACGTCAGGCACGAATCGTGCTTAAGTATCCTTACGTGATAGGGATAGAGTCTACTGATATGCGTGAGTCATGTGTGAGTCACCTACGCAAGCAATCGGCATGGAACCTGCCAATCAGAAGAGGTGACGTCAGGCAGGAGTCGTGCGTGAGTCCCATACGCGATCGACACCAAGCCTACCAATAGGAATAGTTGACATCATGCACGAGTGATGCGTGAATCCCCTATGCGATTGGCATATAGCTTGCTGATCAATAAGGTTTACGTCAGGCACTAGTCGTGTGTGAGTCCCCTACGTGATTAGCATAAAGTCTGCCAATCGGTAGGGTTGGTGTTGAGTGGGAGTTGAACGGGTTCGTTGGTGTGGAAATTGAGGTATTTAGTGGGGGTGGATGAGAAATAATGGCAACAATTCGCAAGTCGAGGCTTCAGTATGCGCCTATAAGGAAAGAAGGAAGAGTACTTAGTTTTTTTGGGTCATTTGGAAAGCAGAAAAATATGTGATCTCCGATCAAGGGTTTTACGATGGAGGCGATTTTTAGCGATGGTCCGAAAGGTGGCGACGATTTATGGTGGCAGCGATTTCCCGCAAGTCTCTACGGCGCGATAGTAAGGTATTTTCGTTTTGTCGCCCACCTTTTGGATTGAAATGCATGGTTGCTTTGAGTTTTTTGCATGAGCTCTTGAATAAATGTATGAACATTAAGGATCATTCATAGAGTTAGAAACCTTAGGTATTCCATATTTTAGGTGCCCCATTTTGATCTTAGCATGTGCATTAGTTTCTCTATGTTGTGTTTGTAGATGTCTGAGAGTTTTAATAAAGAAATTCACAATCCCCTTGCCTTCGGTAGGGAAGAAACTGAAAGTTATGTGCTTAGAGTTTCTGAGCCAATGAGGAGAGTGCCGAATCGGAAGGTATCGTGGAGGGGTTTATAGAAGAGGGTAGGGTTGGGATAGAAGAGCAATCAATAAGCTATAGGGGTGAAGTTTATAAGAAGATGCAAAAGAATTATGACATGTTAGCGGCAGTGGCCAATTGGGTTCTTGATATGCCTCATACACGTGAAATGGGGTCAAGCGACCAGACAGGGCCATCTGGATCTGGTACTGTAGTGGTAGCTTCAGCTTCGGTAGGGATGGGAAATTCCAGTGGGGGTTCCACTACCAAAGAGGAACAGGATGAGCTTGTACGAGTTGGAAGAGCTCAAGATGGAGTATGGGGTTCCTGATTTAATGGGGCTAAGGTTGCCAACTTCAACAGATGTAATGAGATATCCTCCTAAGGGTTGTGTGATGATATTTTCGGCCATGTACAAGTATGGGCTGAGGCTACAATTGCATCCATGGGTGCAGATGATGCTGGCGAAGTTGGGGTATGCGTCAGGGCAATATAACCCCAATTTCTGGATCGTGCTACATGAGGTGTATACAACTTGGTTGTTGGCAAAGCTAGGGGAGCCAACCTTTGAGCAATTCATGCACTTATACTCTGTCTCCAGACAAAAGGGCAATTTTGGGTAGGTTTAGGCTAACTGCCAAAAGGTGAAGGAGATAGTTACTTCTTAAGGCACATGCCATCGTTGCAAAAGACATGAATGAATCTGTGGTTCTTAGCCTCTGGTGACTGGGAGTGTTTGTCGAGGAAGACCGTCGACAAACTTGTGCCTACCCATTTTAATCCTTAGGTCTTTGGTCATAACCTTTTTGTTGATTTTATTACTTGTGTGATAACATGGTCCTAAATTAATATTAAATTATTAAATTATTTAAGTAAAAGACAACTTTAACCCGAGAGTATTTTAATAAGTTTAAAGTTGACTTTTTGTTCAAGAAAGAATTTGGGGATTTTAGTAGTACCGTTGCGTAAAGTGTGTTGATATAAGTTCGTAGACACATAGTGAGCTCAAATCAAAGTTTTAACAAAGAAGTTACGATTAACGGAAGTGCAGTAGTACAACCGTAAATATTTTGAAGCCAAATTTTTTTTTAAACCTAGATCTCTCTCTCTTTGTCTTCTGCGACCTCACTCTCCTTCTCGAGCAAAACAACCACCTGATCTTTGGCCGGCGACAACTCCCTCATCCGACCACCGTTGGCCACCAGACCACTTGCGTTAGAACCGGCTCAACCTCATCTCTCTGACCCACCCCTTCTCCTCCGCAACCACTGCTTGTGTGGCATGAAATAGCTCAAAATCACCGGATTTCTTTAAAACTTTCCGTCATCATTTTCAATGTTTCTGGCCACCAAATTTGTCGATCCATGTATGTTTTCTCATAATTTCAACGTGATTTACTGATGGTTGGTTTGGTTAGGATTGATTTTGGAGTTTTAAGGTTTGATTTACAACTTAAATTTTGACCGATTTTTGGCTCGAATTTCGGCAAGTTCCGGCCACTTTTTGGTTGTGCCCCAAGAACAAAAGTTGCTCCACTAGTTGTCTTGATCACGTAGGTATAGGTATTGTTTGGTGTTTTGAGAATTTTCAGATCGTTGGAATTTTCTTAAGCCACCCACGCGCTGCCGACTCATGGGCCAAGTTTGGGTGACCCATTTGGTCCTAAAATGATCCAATGTCGTCCCAAGTAAGACGGTATGCTCAGATTCAAATTTGGTTATTGTTTGACGATCGAACAGATTTTTACATATTAGGCAATATCCAGGTTCGATATGTTCGGACTGTTGGATCGACTCCATTTAAAAATATGCTGATTTAGGAACCTCTAGGATCGTGTAGGAACTCACAGATCAAGAATCGGAGCCCTTGATGCTCTAATTCAATGATTCAAAAAGTATATAAAACGGTGACCATCCGATCGTGCGATCGTAAGCGATCCGACTACTCGATCTGGACCAAACTCGCAGAACGTGTTTAGTAAATTTTGTTGAACCCGTAGGAACTTTCGAATTATTAATTGAAAGTCGTGGACCCCACGGGAGACCGGGTTGACCAATATAAGAATTTAATCGTATGTTTAATCTCGATTCTTTTCAGACCATTATTATTGTTATAACTATTGAAAATGGGCCTATGAACTTTCTTAAGTTACGCACACGCACTTTAAGGCCAGTGGTCAGGGTTTTGATTAAATAATTTGTGGTTGAGCTATTTTATTAATTAAATATTTTAATCGCTTAAATAGGTACTCGGGCTCCATCAAATCCGCCGAATGGACCCTCGAAAGGTCAAGCTAGCTCGGACGCACAATGAGTTTTTGCAATAAAAGTTTTATTAATTGATCATGAACGATTTATTTATGGTTTTTGCTTTCCAAGCATACAATTTGAATTCAAATGCTTTTATAAAATGTTGTTTATGATTAAATGTGAATGGCTTGGAAAGTAGAAAAGGAAATGGTAATAGGATTTAAGGATTGAATAAGAAAAAGTATTATATTTTTCAAGAAAGTTTTTTTTTAAACCATCATAGGTACCCAAAATGTTGCCTTCATATATAATGATGTCCACGGACATCCTAGTTGCCTTCGGTTGAGTCATCGTGCATTTGACAGTTGCCCCACGAGTCCTAGGGATATCCGGACCTTGAGGAGTAAGGAATACGGCTCAGGTTGACCCAGTGTCTCCTGAGTTCTACGAGGAATGCGGCTCGAGTTAATTTTTTGTTTTCGAGTTCTACGAGGGCGTGTTGCTTATGTGACACTTGGAATTGACGGTAAAATGTAGGAAATAAATAGAAAAATCATGGAATTTACGGATTTATAAAGTGTACACCTAGGTGGAAATGAATTATTTTTTTTCAATGCTTTGAAATAGTTTTGATGAATGGATTGAATGTATGAACGGTTATATGCATATGCATGCTTGATTTTTGTAAGAATATAGAACATGGATTAAATGGATTTTCAAATGGTTTTAACAGTGGGATTAGTATGTTGATATTCTATTTTATAAAACTTTCTTTTGTCCACTCACACTTTTAATGTTTTGCGCCCCCATTCAGTAATCGAGTACCAGAGCCCTACCACCGGGCACTCCTTACCCACCATTCATCCACTTCCTTTATGTAGGATATTCTCCTATAACTGTACTACTTTTGTAAATTAAATTAATTAGTATGCTCTGATATTGCCTTAGGATTTCTTAAGGCCTGAGGCGACACAAATTTACTGTTGGATTGTGTGTGTTTTAACATTGTGCATGCTGAACGCTTTTGGATATATGAATTGCATTTTGTACATGTGCAACTTTTTGGAAACGAGCAATTTACATGGGAGTTTTCGGCAGAAGTCAAACCTTAAGAGAATTTGTGAGTTTTAGATTAGAGGGCAATTTGGTCAAGTGTACCCAACACTTCACAAGTGTTAGATACGCACAGTGTTCAACACATATTCCAAAGTGGAATTTGGGTCGGGTCCTGTCAACTTGCATGTGCTTATATGAATTGCCATGTTGCCGAAGCAGTATAAATGAACTAATTGTGTTCTTGTTTGTGTAGGTTCAGTGAATTGCAATTTTTTATCGAATGAGAAGGAGGATGAGGTGGAGTTGGTGTGGTCGTTGCTTTCGGCAGAGAGGCGAGAGTACAAGAATTTGGTGACGCCGGAGCACTTGCTTGAATCAGGGTTGCTGCAAGAAAGTAAGTTGTGTTTCTTCGGCGTCTATTTTTTGTATATACATTTTGTTTAACTAACTCCTTGTTTTTTGTTAATGGCAGTGGCTGGGATAAGCGAGGAGAAGAAGCAACAATGCCTTAGGGCGAGGCAAGAGAATGATAAGGTTGCCAAGGTCAGAAAGGCCGAAAAGAGGCAGGCCAAGGGCGTGGAGAGTGTGGCCGAAGGGGTTGAGGATCGTGTCACTAGAAATGGCCACGGGATAATGATAATGGGATAGTTGTGGCAGCCTTGGACAAGAGGAAGAGGGGATTGAAGGCAGCCATTCAGCATGTCATGGGCGACGAGTCGGGGCTGCCCCCATTCGACTTAGAGCCCCTCCAAAGCTTCCACTATACATGGAGGAGTTGTTCTCTGTAGATGTTGAGGATATTGACTTTGCTGAGGTTCGGCAGCAAAAAAAATAGGTGACTTTAGCGATGCATTATCACGAGGTGCCCTTAGTGAATGCCTTCCTCATCGGAGTGAAGATAAATGCTGGGGAGTTGGCTCATACCAAAGCCACTGACTTCTAATATCGTGTGTAAAAGACAGTCTTGTCTTCGGCCAATGTAAGTACTGAAACTATTAGTTACGGTTTGTTGACAATAACTGCTTTATGATACCTGTGTGATCATCTATATGCTACATGTGTGATCATCTATATGCTTTTGGGGAGATGTATCTGACCCTAGCTAAGGCAGGTAAGGAGGTTGCACTAGCGAGGCGTCATATGGATACAGCGAATGCTGCCAATATCAAAGCCTAAATCGCGATCTAGAAAAAGAACGCCCTGTAGCCAATGACGACTAAGTTGGAAAATGAGCTAAAGGAGACAAAAAGGAAGTTGGGGATAATAGAGGAGGCCCTAGCCGAAGCCAAGCGGACGAAGGTGGAGGAGATAGTTGCAACCCGTACCGAGACAATGGAGGAGTACAAGGCATCAAATGAGTTCTGAGACCTTGTACTAAATAAGATTGTGGAGGAGTAGTTGGGTTGGGAGAAGCTCATAGCGATGTTCAACCCTACATTGGGGATAAACTTTGACACCAGCAGTGCTCCTCTTGCCATTCCTCCTGCAATGAATGGATATTTGCTTCCCCATCGTCTGCCGATGTTGCTGTTTATCTCGATGCCGAAGATAGAGGTGGCAGCGGAGGCAAGGATGCCGAGTAGGTTACTGGGGAGGGGCAGGACATGGATGTTAAAGCCTGAGGGCTTTGTATGTTTTTGTTTTTGTATGTAGCGTATGTATCTTTTGTAAACAATTTTAAGAGTGCCGAAAATACCCATGTTACGTATGGATATTTTGTCATGCCATAAGGTGAGGGTATTTTGGTAATTTATCATAGACTGTTGTATGTTTTAACAAATTTCTTGCTAAATGGTAACTATAAGTGTGTGTCGAAGGCACTTGTGTGGGTAGAAATGAGCCAAGGTAAGACATTTCATTTAGGTAGGTGCCAAAAGGCATACGTACATAGGAAACTTGGTAAAGCATAAAACATAAGTGCTGAAGGCATAAGAATAATGTGAAAATATAGGTGCCAACGGTAAAGAGCTTGGCTTATTTATCTGTGGTAATACTTAAAGTGAAGCTAATAAGTGGCAGGGCGGCAAACCTTGATGACTTCATAGGGACCTTCCCATGTTGGTTCGAGGGTACCTTCGGCTGAGTTTTTGGTGGCTAGCGAGGCCTTGCCCATAACCTAATCTCCAGGTTTGAAGGCGCGAGGCTTCACACGAGAGTCATAGTATTTGGTAACACGTTGTTTATAAGCGAAGTTGCCCATTTTGGCCTGGTCACGAAGCTCATCGATGAGGTTCAGGTTTAGGGCCAACTGCTCATCTTTTGCTTCGGCATCATATGCTGACGTTCAGCATGAAGGTTGGCCGATCCATACCGGTACAATAGTGTCGGTACCAAAGGAAATGGAAAAGGTCAAAAAGTGGTGCAGTAAGACCATAAGACCTCGGGGAGTAGGTCAGGCCAACAACCTTTGGCTTTGTCGAGCTTTGTCTTCAGAGTCTTTTTGATTATCTTATTCATGGCTTTTGCCTAGCCATTGGACTAAGGATGGGCCGGAGAAGCAAAGCAAAGACGGATCTTGAGGTTGGAGCAAAATTGCTTGAATTTGGCATTATCAAATTGCCTACCATTGTTTGTGACAATCACCTGGAGTATGCCGAAGCAACATATGATATTTTGTCAAACAAAAGTTTCAACATGAGCTGATGTGATGGTGGCAACTTCGGCCTACTTGGTAAAATAGTTCATAACAACAACAACATACTTGACCTTGCCCTTTTCTTCTAGCATAGGTCCGATGAGGTCAAGTCCCCACTGAGCGAATGACCATGGGCTAATCATTGGTGTCAATGGTTCGACATGGAGTTGTGGGATGGTGGCAAACCTTTGGCATTTGTCACATTTCTGGGTGAAAACTTAGGCGTCAGTGTGGATAGTGGGCCAAAAATATCCCTGCCAAATAACTTTGTGGGCGAGAGATCGGGCACCATTGGTTGCCGCAAATGCCTTCATAAACCTCCTGAAGGACATAATTGCCTTCTTCTGGTTAAATTTATATTTTGTATCTATGTTGGGCCTATTTGCTCTACTTCTTGGGATGGGTTGCTTTTTTGGACTTTCGAGCTTTTGTAATGCTTCCCACTCTTAATGAATAGAGCCACTTTCACCACACACGCACACACACAAAAGGGTTTGAATTTTGGAGCTTTTTTGTAATACACAATCTATACCTAAAACACCAGTACACAAACAACAATAAATGAAATCTGGCTTTCTTCAAAATACTCGCAAATAAGGAGCTTGTATACTACAACTTCAATACAGTTGTGCATGCATTAGCCCAACATCTTTCAATTTAGGCTCAAGTCTGTATTGGTGGGAAGATGCACCAATTTGGCTTGATGCTCTTCTTCGAGCTGACAGTATGTATATCTTGTGATTTCTAATGAAATATTAAAGCCTTTTAACAAAAGAAAAAAAAACCTACAACTTCAATGGCTGATTTGACATAATAAAATATACAAAATGAATGCCAAAATAAAATTAAATGTGGCGTTAAATTTCAGCAATACGAGGGTTTTTATAAAAATAACTACTATGTACATTAACAAGTAAAATATACAACACATGGTGGATGACAGAAACAAAGCTCTCCGACTATTATTCCAGAATTCTTCCGTAGTTCGGCAAAATCATGATCCAGCCCGCCTGTCAAGCCCAGCACTGCAATCACCTTCAGCAAACAGTCCCATTGAATTCAACCCACAAAATGACCTTTAAACCTAGCTGCTCCTGAACCACAACAAAAAGATAGGGTTAACTATGCTTATCTACATAAATATTAGCATCTCCTACAGACCAATTAGCTTGACTATCATTATACATCAGAGCACACAGAACCATCCATTCAGATTATGCAAGTATTGCTGATATCTACGGTCAAAGCGTTATGTCTTAAGTATATAATAGATTATTAATTTAGATTCAAATTAAACTATTTACCAGATTCTGGAAGATTCAGCTTCCAAATCATTATTCACAGGCGATCTTGGTGTCAAAGCTGCTGAGGCAGATTGAAAATGCCTGGAATGCTGATATTGGGTACCGGTAATCCATGGTAAATAAATCTTTCCCCACTTTTCCAAATTGGAGGATGATCTTCTCATGTTCTGGCCCAGCTGGTCCATTTTCTGGAGAAGCCACCAACTGAAAGTTTTTCACTGAAGCAACTGTTACTCGTCCATGGAAGTTCAAACACCAACACTGGAGTTGCTCATGCCACCTAGGAGACTTATTTCTTAACACCAGCACCCCACTTTTCTGGCTGGCCAAAGGCCCTGATATTCTTTCCGCATGGTTTGATTTTGATCGGAAAAATGGGAGGGATGGAAGGAATTCTGCATTACTATATGAAAAATCTGCCTGTGTGGGGGCTACTCCTCCAGGTTCAACTGAAGTGGCAGGAATGGCATCCATGGTACACTGCATTCTCCTTGGACCCCTGCTTGTACAAACTCTGTGAGTTATGTAATTTCCTCAGTTTGTTAGAATAAAAATGCACCCTGATCTAAGTGTACTGAACAAATTATGATCACAGCAGAGACTAAGAGAAAAAGGAAAGCATCACCTATGCTGATGAAATTCCTAGATGTACTCTTATAATTTCATTCATAAAGGAAGGTTCAATAACTTGTCACAGAAGGAAAAATTTTACCTGGAACCCAACATATTTAGTTCATACTGGATGTGAGCAACTGGATAGTTTCCAGCAGGGACCCTAGGTGAAACTTGTTTCAAATTTACTGGCCTAGTAGAGCGACTTTTTGTAATCTTGGCTCCAGCATGAGTCGGCTGCCCATCAAAGATTGTGAACTTTGTTCCCAAAAAGTTTGATCTTCACAAAGAGAGGGGAATAGTGTGTTAATATTTAAGCTCATGGTGAAAAAGAAGAAGTTACATCATATGCATCTTCAGGCACACCTCAATTTCCCAATATAGTTGCTGCTCCCCTTTGACATATCATCAGCATGTAGTGAGACAACATAATCAGTGCAGGTGGCGCGTTTATACTTGCGCGCAGCAAGTAGGAACTTTCCCTCATCAGTTAGTGCTGCCATGGACAACAAAAAAGTTTAAAAAGGTTATGGCTCAAAAAGGAAACCAGAAGAGGACACAGGCCCACTATTTACAGAAAGTGACGGCAATTTCTGGAGAGGGAAATGAATACCTAGATAACCTAACTAAACAAAACCAGATCAAAGATGGAAAAGCCATATCTTTGAAAAACCTAAAAAAAGAAGAAAAAAAAAAAAAAAAAAAATACCAATCATTCACACTGTACTACACAATAAGAAACATCCATTTAGGTTAGAAAATGCTCACCATGGGTAAGACCAAGGAAAAGGTAATATGTTTGGCTGGAACGGTTCCGTTTTATAAAGCACTGCAGGAGATCATCCCTTGGACCAGGCTGCAGCCAACAAAAAACAGATATTGAAAATATGGAAAAAGAAGATTTCAAAGGTAGAAAAGAATAAATCAAAATTTTGGCAAACCCAAGAGTTTCCAATCAGAAAATCAAACATAATGAGAGCACAGAACAAGATTGACATGATCTTAGGCTCTTCCCATCACTATACACTGCATGTCATCTAAAAATTTTGCTGATAAAGACTCAACATAGGAAATGGATAGGAAATTTCAGCCACTATCATCATTGAGGGAAATTGGAAAGCGATTTCCTCTATAAACATTACAAAGACAGAATTCGGAGCAATTGACATAGAAGGACCAAGAATTATCCTAACTAGTCCACTCCAATCTCACAACAGAAGCATCCCAGAGAAAGAAAATAAAAAAAAATAAAAACAGCAATTTCCCCCGAAACCCCCATCATGTTTTGTAAATTCGAAACTGTTAATGCAGCGAGATCAAACACAAATATAAATTCGACCATAAACTCAATCAATATAAAGCTTCTTTCTTTTTCCTTGAGAGATAAAAAGAGACCTGCTTGACGGAGATGGGGAAGGTCAGCTTCCCAGTGAGCTCAGGAGCCTTGACGATCTCCTTGGTGAGGTGCCTCCAGCTCCGGCAAACACCGGCGCAGGCGACGACGCTCTTCCGCGGCGGCCAAGCGGCCTCGGAGGCCTCGATTCTCACCAGCACCTCCCTCAGCAGCTCCTGAGGCATCTGAGCCCAGCAGCTCTGCTTCAGTGACTCACCCACCGTCTCGGCCGAGCCAGCCGAGTCTTGGACCACCCGCTGCGACCGGGAAAACTTCATGTCCTGAAGTATACTCCTTATCGACATTTCTCTACTCAAGCTTATCAAAATCTGTCAACTCTGCGATGAAAAAGATGAATTTTTGGTTTTGGGTTTTGGGTTTTGGGAACGGAAGGATTGGGATTCTGAAGAAGGATCGAGTGTGGGCGAGGCAAGTGGGAATATTTATTTGTCTTCTTGTCTGTTTGTTTGCATTTTTTTCTCTCCAAGCCTCCTTCCTTATCATCACACTACAAAAAGCATATGAATTTCTTCTTATTTTATTGTGTTTGAGAAGATAGCCATGCCTAGTGTTATTTTTTTATTTTTTATATTCTTTGGTGGGAGGGAAAAAAAAAAAAAGCAAAAAAATAGTAACCATTTTTGGCTTTTTAGCAAAATTTTCTTTTCTTTTTTGGGGCCATTCTTAATTGTATATAGTGCTAAGTTAACATGTATGGCATAAAGAAAGAAATTTTGAAAAATAAAAAAAAGAAGAAAGAAATTAGGGGAATTGAGAATTTTCGTTCAAAATTGGTCAGCAGAAAATAGAATCTAACAAAATGAAAACGTGATTTGATTTGAATATATTTAGTTTCCTGAATAGGGTGATTTGGGTCAAACATTTACCATTTCTTCAGCATTTTGTTTAAATATATAATATGTTTAATGTTTTCAACTCTGGAAAATGACTTCTTGTTATGGTACACGTGGAGTATTTTGATCATTGAAGTGTAATTAGGAGATTTACTGGCTGTGTGATGGAAATTAGGTCATGATGAAATATGGGAAAGAAAACTTAAAAATAAAAATGCATGAATGTTTCTTTAGATTGGAGTTTAGTGGTAGGTAGTTAGGCGCATTTCAATTCAATACAATTTAACCAAACTGATCGACCCAATTTAATCCCATTTGGTTACTATTGATTACTTTGGCTATTTAATTCATCTTTAAGTAACCAGTATGTTTTATTACGTGAATATCTATTTTAGTCATAAGTAGCTGTTTAAATTTTTTATATACATAAAAGAGCGATAATATTTTATTGATAATATAAACAAAAACCTGTACAAAGCAACTAATGTGCCGAATATGGACACAACTTCTCCAGTAACCAAACGCAACAAGTTGAATTGATCTGGAGAGAATATGTACAATCTAAAAATGATTAAATCTCTTAATCAACAACCAAAAGAACATGTACTCAAATCTGCAATAAAGATTTGTCTGTATCAAAAGCCAAAAGCAAAAATAAAATAAAATATCTTAAACAAAAAATAAACCACATCAAAATTCTAAAGAGTTCATGGGAATTATTAGACTAAAACAAACTAAGAAACAAAATCATCACTCCACATCCTCTCGGGCAACCCGAAGTGCCGCACTGACGAAACCCAAATTCGACGCAACTCGACATTATCCCGGCTTCGTAGCTCCAAATCTATATCGAAGGCTGACAACTTGAGCCAAATCCTTGCATGCATGGGTCGAAAGACAGCAACTATATCATGATGACGGCAACGTTCCACTGCAATGGTTCTACATCACAAAACAAAACAAAGAATCCAGAGGAAAAAGGAAGGGAAAAAGAGGAGAAGAAATGTGATGCAGTAGGAAGGGTGGCTGCTAGAGAAGTTAATGGATGGATTTGGTGGCGTTTGATTCGTTGGATTTTCAAATCAGATCGAGTTGAAATATTTTTAAAATCGAGTCGGGTCAAATTTCAGGTGCTCCGCTCCATCTTCATCTCCATCTCCAACCAGTTTACAGGCCTAGTGATTGCGGACCCCAAAGGTTTTCTCTCTTATGTTATAGCTAAGCTGATTACATTCTACTTTAATGTAGATGTAGCTTCTTTCTTTCATTTTTTGCCAAATAAAGTTGATATCTTCTGTCAAAAGGAAAACGTCGATATGTTTTTGTAAGCAAGGCAACCCTAACCCATTTTTCAACTAATAATTTAATTTGGTCCTCATTAAATACGCTTGAGCTGCTGCCTGCCAAAAACTCAACGTGAAATAGTTGATTACGGACGAAATCCAATTCAATTTCAATAATCTGAAAGTGGACCCCACAGGCAGAGGTAGCAGCACGCATACACGTACAACTAAATTCATCACAGTCTCAATCGATGGGCGGAGCCGCGGATGGCACAAATTTGCCGGCTAAAACAAGTTGGTAGAATATTTATAAATTTAAAAAAATTGCCATATAATAAAGCAAAAATTAGCTTTTCTCGTATCAATATATTATACAAATAAAATAAAAACATTAATTTTTGTTTTATCGCAAAAGGGACATAACCTTTGTTTTATTTTTCAAATGGGTCCAAAAAGAAGAAGACGCAAACATATTCTAATTCCTATCTGATTTTGCTAAGTATACCCCCCACCCAACCCGGAGCGAAAATTGTGACGGGAATCTCTAATCTAATTGTTGTTGTGGGCCACTCCAATAATCATATTCCATCTGTTTGTGTTTTCTGTGTGTAGCTGGACCTCTCTCTTCTCTTCTCCCACACAACAGTTATACGGCAAGCAAGTTTATAAAGATGAGAGGAAAGCACCAAAAAAAGAAACCAAAAGCAAACAAATTAGAACAGAGCATGTGTAAATGAGGACATGATATATCTTCTTGTAATGAGAGGAACGCTTTGTTTGTCGGTACTTAAATCGATGTCTCTTTGTCTAATCAAAACCTACCAGGTAAAATATGCTTTCGGATATGATATGATATGAGATCCTTTGGAGCAGGAGCAAAATTGACCTAGCTCACTCAAAGGATTAGGGTATTATGGACAATATTTCTCTAATTTTCCGGATAAGTAGGAACTCTTGCATTCCTGCCAATGGCATACGTGTAAAAGTTTTTCTTTTTATGTTTTTGATGAATTATTTTTGTACATGTGCTAAACCGTGATTTGAATGAATGAAGCAGGTGATATTCGGCTAATATTATAATAAAGATTAATATTTGACTCTTGTTTGAGAATATTATATTCACTATATTGAAAGAGAGATGATATTTTATGTTTTCTCGACAAGATAGGCATGGGACAACCCAAAGAAAAATGATTATTACAACAGCAACCAAACATGAATTTAAGATGTTGATACATACCCCAAAAACCCAACCAACTTTTGCATTGATTTGTCTCACGAAAAAGTGAAATCCCACATACCAATTGGTATGGGTAGGGATTAGGAAAGTGACGATGGCAATTTTTCTAAAATGGGGCACTATTGGAGAAAGAGGATGGAAGGATGGATGGATGCCAGCCTTATCAATCACGTGACAAATATGATATTCGCAAGCATCCTAAAACAGCGTTAAATCATCTTTCACTTCCTTTGATTCACTTGGTAAAGAATTTTTTAATTTAAAAAAAAACATCAAATCTATACCTATAAAGATGATGGTTATAAAGTTAAATCTATAAAGATTCTGTATTCAAGGACGACCCTGTATTTCTCGTTTCCATAACAAATGAAAGCATCTTTAAAAGAGACCCAAGACATCAATATATCCAAGAATCACAACGTTTTTTTTTCCAGAGACCACCTCTTTTTTACCACATCCAGTCTGAAACTTATGCTTGAATTATTACCACAGAATGCTGATATTTTAATCACAAACAAGCAAACTCCTCGTTGAAAATAAAAGACCAATGTATTTAAAAATATCCTAGCACAACAACTGGAAGCTGTCCAAGTCTATTGCTGTCACACATTAGTCTTGTGCCACTTTCATTGCATAAATGTTAATGGCAACTTACCAGGTCCCACCAACTGAGAACTCCCACTTAATTTCACATTGAAATGGAGCAACATGTTCCCATCTCCACCAAACCTTCGATAGATACAAGAGAAGAGGATGCATTTTCTTGTCTATCCTTTAGGAGTTGCCAATGACCAATGACAACAAATAATGTATATAATTTGCATCACATAAATCAGCATGTTGTTGCACTCTCAAGAGATTAAACTTTTCTCTTTTTCTCCATGAAACAAATTCAAGATCATTCAGAAAATTATAGCAAAAGGAAGACGATATTAAACAAACTAATGGAACAATAAAAATATAAACCGATTAAAAGACTAGAAGTAGTCGTATTTACAAATTTGAGAGTAGCATATCTTCTGACAGAAACTTAAAATTGAAATGCACAGCAATTGATATCTAAATATAGGTCAGTCATTGACTAGAATGTAGAAGCCTGGAATGAACATTTTAAAGATAAGCTTAGTTAATATCAAAAAAAGAATCCTAAGTCCTAATCTCAAGCATTAGGTTAAAATTAAACCTTCACCGAGCCAAAAATTCCTACCAGGATTCCTATATAACGTGAACACTACCATTTTGCTGTTGCATGGTCCCCAGTGATTGTCCTACAAAACCAATGAAATTATCCAGGTGAAGGATTTATTCACCAAGTTACAGCCCAAATCAAACAAGATCAAATCTAATGCACACATCTTATGAAACACTGAAAAAAATGATCTTACAAAGAATTAAAGAATACCTGAGTTACCCGCAAAAGAATAAGGTTTTGAAAGAATTTTGCTTCTTGTTAAACCAACACCAGCAACCTGAGGCCTTGGAACATTATCAACAGGAAACTGATTTGAGAAGTCGCCATCAGGCAGGGAACCTACTGAGTTCCCCAAGCAAACTTCTGAATTTTGTGCAAGAATTTGATCAGGTTTCCTCATGGAAGGTAAAGAATGTGAGTCTCTCTGTTTTGCAGTAAGTATCTGGAATTAGTTGTTAATCACTACAAAGTTTGACGAGAAAAGGAGACAGAGGATGGGGAGGGGGATCATTTATGCATATCGTGACGCAATGCAAACGTTGTCCTATAATTGCTTAACGTTTAGGCTTCAACGCTCAACACCTTAATATTAGTGCACTCACCATGTCACTACACAGCTCCTTAGTTGATGCCACTGCCTCATAGTAAAGATGGCAAAGTGCTGATCAAAGACGATTGCTTTTTTGAGAGTAATATACTTTAGTAGCAAGGGGACGAGGGCAATCTGATTGATACAAAACTCATTGTCAAATACTGTAAAACGAGAACACACAGTAGATAATCGAAACAGAAGAATCATCAGGATAAACTTTCCTAAGCAGTTGATTTACATATTTGATAATTCATCTTTAAGAAGCAAGATCATTGTTAATCTTTGTGTGCTGAAGTATAAGAATTGAGTAAACTGACACAACTATTAGTATACCTTTAATTGGCATGCAGCATTCAAGGGCTTGCCCAGACTTCTTATATTTAAGGGCAGAGTCATTAGGTATTTCACTTACAGAAATGACTCCTTTTGAAGAATCCCTATCTGCACACATGCATGAAATACATACATATACATGAGTACATCATAAATTTAAAACTTCTCACACTTTGAAACATTGTGGTAAAGGACTCATTCCCAAGTAATGAGGCTAGCTATACATGCAAAGTTAAAATTTCCTTAAACAATCTTTGCAAATCCCCTGTAATTTCACCTTCGGGAGGATTTACATAAATAAAGTGATTGGATATTCAAGAACGGCCAAGCTACAGGACAGTGTATAAGAAGACGAATGCATATTAAAGATTTAGCCTCACAAGGGCATGCATCCTGAGTGCTTGTAAGTTTTGATACAGCAGATACTATTCCTATATCTGATAGCGGCAGCTGCTCACCTGCTACCCTACAAGAGGGGAAAAGGGATTTGCGTCACATAAAGGAAATGAATGACAAATATCAACAGTATTTAAAGGGTGCTTTCCTTAAAAATTAAAACAAAATAACAAATGAACGTTCCAACAAACCATTGCATTTGACTTATATAAAGGGCGCAAGAATATAACCCACTTTGACATGTTGCAATTTAAGGCATAAATAAAAGTAGCAACTACACCCTTTTCTCTAAAAGAAACCAAAGGAAGCATAGGTTCAGGGACAAATGAAAGAAGAATTCACCTAGATCGCATGCCTAAGCACTTATTATCTGGACATTCTACACCACTATAGGGCATATAAAGCCACTGAGAGTCCATTTCTCTAAATTGCTCCAGAACACAGTGCATAAATACTTAACTTCCTTTCAAAAAAATAAACTGAAAATTAACAGTGCAGCATTACACAAGATCAGAGGAACTAGGAGGGAAAATGATTCAGTACAGCCCGTAGGTATTAGATTAAGCACTCAAACAATAGAACATAGAAGAATATAAGAGATCGAGGAGACGAAAACATAGATCGAAAAGACGAAAGAAAGGGCAGAACAGTAGAACAGGAAGAATATCAGAGATCGAGCAGACGAAAATATAGATCGAAGGGACGAAAGAAAGGACCGAAATCAGAGAACCGAGAAGGAAGGACAGAAATCACATAATTTTAAGAGAAGGTTTACGCAATATCCAAATCTGAATTTTAAAGAACTACATGGGGTTATTTATAGCAAACTAAAACCTAGACATAATAGGATAAACATCTCTTGCTTAAACAGAAATCCTAACCCAAATAAAATAGGAAACTTAAAACTAGAAATCTGGAAAAATAGAAATCCTAATAGAATTTGGAAAACTAGAGAATCAAGGAAACTAACAAATACATTAGGAAACTAATAAACTTAGGTCCTACGCGTCCTGCATCATTCTCCTCCGGTGAAAAGAACTCGACTCCAACGAGTGAAGAGCAATAAAAGCAAAATCCCAAGTGTGAAGAGGCATGTTGCGTCCTTTAGGTCTTCAAGATCAGCATCATATTTGCCACCTTGAAACCATCCGTTCCGTAAGCATGGAACATTATGCCTGTTAAGAACATCAAATAGAGATCTCTGCCTAGATCCATGAGCAACATGAACGGCCAACGAACACAAGTGTGTGTGTGGGTGTGAGAGACCCTCAATCCAGTGTGTTCTTAAGTCATCGCCGTAATGCCTTTGTTTAGGAAAAACACCTGGCTGGGCATGGCAGTCTATGCCAAAATCCAAGTGTCGGTGCACAAAGTTCTTGTCGTGTGGTCGGGGCGGCGAGTTAGGGATGGGAACTGTGTCGTCAACCAGATGAGAGCCCATCATATGTTGGATATAGTTGGGCTGCAGCATAGAATCAAAAGAAAAGAAGGGCTCCAGTTGAGCAGTGGGCATGCCGATCGATAGTCCAGTGGAATGATTCGGCATACCTGGTTGCACGGCCTTCAGTTTGTGATCCACCAGTGGATTGGGAAGAAGGCCACCTTTTGGCAGCGGTGTAGACGAACTCGAGGGCACCGCTGAGGTAGAAGAAGGCTCAGTCGTTCCAAGCCGAAAGTGATTGATAAGCATCTGCAGTCTTGGACTTTGTTGATGGCAAGGGTCATCGTCGCAAAATGGTTGTGGACCTGTACTGACTCTTCTTTTTGGTCAGCACTCAGCTTGGAGAGTTGGGTGTCAATTCTGGTGATATTGGCAGAAACTTTGGCTTTGAACTCATGAAATTGTGCGGACAGGCTGGCCACGGTTTGGAGTACCATGGTAAAGAGTAGACACAAGCGAAATCGAGAGCTGGTTCTGAATACCAATTGATGTAGTACAGCCCGTAGGTATTAGATTAAGCACTCAAACAATAGAACATAGAAGAATATAAGAGATCGAGGAGACGAAAATATTGATCGAAACGACAAAAGAAAGGGCAGAACAGTGGAACAAGAAGAATATCGGAGGTTGAGGAGATGAAAATATAGATCGAAGGGACGAAAGAAAGGACCAAAATCAGAGAACAGAGAAGGACGGACAGAAATCACATAGTTTTAAGAGAAGGTTTACTCAATATCCAAACCTGAATTTTAAACTACACGGTGTTATTTATAGCAAACTAAAACCTAGACATAATAGGATAAAAATCCCTTGCTTAAACAGAAATCCTAACCCAAATAAAATAGGAAACTTAAAACTAGAAATCTGGAAAAATAGAAATCCTACTAGAATTTGGAAAACTAGAGAATCTAGGAAACTAATAAATTTAGGTCCTACACGTCCTGCATCAGAAAGAGCCAGGGTACTAGTGTGCAATATATATTCAAAGTTCAAATATACAGTTTTAATGTATTTAAGATATGCATACAATCATACTGCAAAATAATTATCCTTCATAATAATAAAAATCATACATTTTAGACCGTTTTGTTGGAGGAAGCATCACACATGTTGAGCCATTGGTATTTCCCGGACTAACTCCTGAACCATCCATCATATATGTCGCATCTACATAAGCTGAATTCCCTAGATGACATGGTAAAAAATGGAGAAAGCTGAATACAGATTGAACAGTAAAATAATTTGTTCGATTGCTATACATTTTTTTTTCTTTCAAAATACAAATTGAAAAGAAATCATCTTACATATTTGAATATTATCTCCCAATCAAGTTGTGCAGAAAAGAAACCAACTTAAAAAGGCTATTGAGACATTGCTAGATGATATCAAGAATAGATCTAAACTCCAGGGAGAATCTTAAGAATACGTACAATCTGCAACATAATACTTCACGTAACAGGGCTAGTCACTTTATACAGCTCATATAACCATTAATAAATTCTGATCACGTGTCATTAGTGTTGTCAAATCAACCACTACATGGTTTCTTGAATTAAAAAGATAGTTCCTCTGCTTTACTAGCTCATTGAACATGAAAAAAGATAATGACAACATAGATATAGAAGATACAAGCTGGCACTGCCCAAAAAGTTGTACAAGCCGATGTGATAACTAAAAAGCTAAGGGTTCGTCTCATAACATTTTAGTTTGTATTTTGTTCCTTTTTCTTAATTAAAGAGAGGGAAAATATATAGAAGAAATCAGGGAGAAAGATGAGAAAAAATGGGGGGGAAAACAAACAATTTTTAATTTGTGTTTCAAAAACCATTCTTTATATCCTCGCCTTTCTCCCTCAAATCTACTCTCTCTCTTCTCAATTTCTCTTTTTTCCGTTTCTATATCTTTAATTATAAATAAAATGCCAAAAACAACATCACCAACGAATAGGCCCTAAGTTACAGCTTTGAATAATTTGTCCAGGAATGTGATTTACATGACAAATTGGACTGGCCTAGTAGTATAAGGCAACCGGTGAGGCCAGAAATAAAAATGACAAAGCAAAACAGAAATTTAATATGAGGAAGCCAAATGATCAAACTGAAGCACAAGATCAAAGGCAAGAAAGAGTTACTTTTTGTCTCCATAAAACAGCAAGAATTCATTCCGATTTGCCCATCCAACTGGGGTTGTGATACAGCAATATCATCTGCTTCTACAGACTCAGATCTTTCTAGCTCCCCAACTGATGTGGACTGGTCTAGAAAAGGTTAAGAACCATCAGGTTGTCACACCATTAAATAACATTAGCCTTCAAATCAGAACAAAATACCTCTGAGAAGATACTTGCAAAACACCCAGAAATTTGTTTTAAAATAATGACTACCATGAACTCTTTCAAAAAACTAGGAACTTTACTCCACTTTGGTTCAAATAGAAAAGGAAAAGGAGAAAGGGGGTGACATATCAGTAGGAAATGTCAGAAAGAACAAGGAAAACACTAAATTTCACTGAAGTCATCATAAAAAGGATACTAGCATAAGCAGATAACAACTTTTTCTTCTCCTTCCTTGGAGGTTTCCTTTGTCCCATACTTCCATCAGGCTCCAAAGTAGTTTCTTGCACAGCATTTAATGACCTACAAAGTTCTGAAAATTTCGAGCCATGTCAGCATAGGGCTAGAACCAGCACACTTAAGAGTTAGGAAGCAACCAATTAGCAAGCACTACATGCAGGCCAATAAACATTGATAAGGTCTTTTTTATCCCAAATTTGAATTTGAATTGAGCTAGGATGAAAAAAAATCCTTGTTTATAAATCCTTATCAGCATGGTATTTTTAAATCTTTATCATATAAGAAAAATCTGTGTTTCTCTAAAAATAAATTAAGGATGAATACGCATCGAATAATTATTGATACCATTTGGAATTTACAAAGAAATTTTCATAAAGGAATGGACCACCAAATATCCACACAAGAAAGAAAAGAAACATACGTGTCTATATAAATAAATAAAGGCTTGAAGTAAAACAAATAAGTTTTTTTAAAATAAATATATATAAAAAAAACCTTCAAACCTGCATGTGCCACATATTGACTGGCCTTGACTGGTCTTTTACAAGCATTGCAACATACCTTCACAGTGATAGTTAATAATCAGATTAGATAAAGGTTATGTAGATATATAATCACACAAACACATCAGAACTAAACAATTACATAAATGAGTTGGGTAATCTTTGGTACCGTTTTTATTTTAACTCAAAAATAGATCAGCTATAAAATAAAGAAAACATATTCTTCATTTTGGATTAGCACTCCATTAATATCATATTAGGCAGTGGTAGTAGTAGTGGTAGTAGGCTGAAGGACCACATTGTTAAAGGAATTCACACAGGGTTTAGGGTAACTTATATTCTTCAAGTGGTTAAGGTATCCTTTAATTTCCGTTAAGAGGTAGTTATGAGAGTTAATTGTATAAGAAGCACAAAGGTAGTAAATATGAAGCTATTGATATTTAATTTAGGACGAGAGAAAGAAAGTAAAAGCCACCTTGAACAGTGTTATATCCACATGACCAGTATACAAATTTTTCTGGGCCAAAGCGGAAACACCCAACATACATGGCCAAATATATACTTCCAAATACAGATTTGTATATTGCTTATGACCAAATCTTTACTTAATAGACCTCAATACCATATAGCAAGACAAAACAATGTGATCTAAACCTTACCAAATGCAAAGGATCATTCATCGGCTTCAAACCAAATACATGCATATCTGCAGACCCAAATGGAAATCATCAACGAGTTTATGAAACTACGAACTTAGAAAAGCCAAAAGGCTTATACAAAATTATAAAATGTTATGCAACAGAATTGAACACCAAGAATTGTGATACCATATGCATCTTCAAAACTAAAATTATATAAACAGCATGACTATTAAAGGTGCACATTTTGTGAGCCAAATTTGATCTAATTGTGAATATACTGTATAATAATGTTGATTAAAAGATTTGCCTAGTCTCTAGACTCTCTACCGCCACCACCACCACCACCCCATTATCATTAAACGCCACTGCAGCACTGTAGCATTTTCCATGTTAGAAAACTCAAGATTAATTCAAGCACACCTGCTGCATCAAACATGGAACAAATGCAATTTTTTATTAAGGGGTATCTGAAATGCGCAAAGAAATCACCTTCTTCGTCAAGCAAATTTGCTTCATTTGCGTCGCTTAACTCTCTGCAAATCATTTGAGCATCAAACTTCTGATGGCCAACTTCCTCTGTACGGGGGGATACAGGGGAATGAGGTCAATAAGAAACCAAAATAACCAATGCAATGCTGCTTAGGAGTAAAAGTAATGAGTTCTACAAATCATAGGTAGATCATCTATATGTATAAAGGCAGAGCACAAAACCACATGCAATCCCAAAGTCTCCTTGTACCTGCTATTCTTTGTGTGACACTCCCCGATGCAAGAAGCCTTGCCATCACCGCCATCCTCCCACTTCCAAGTGAGCATACCATTGAGACTTGTATATATATGTAGGTAACAATCAGCAATAGTAAATGACTGCTGTAAATGACCAAGACCCTACAGAACATTTGTCCACCCTTGCATTACCATATAACCGGAAAAGAAAATAAACAATAAACAATAAAGGCAGGGTAAGGCATATTAAGCAGCTGCTGCACAAGGTTTATATGGCAAACATACTTCAAAATTGCAGGGGCAATTTCACCATTATAAGCATGAAAGAATCCATTATTGTGTGCAATTCAAATACATACTTATCTGCTACTCTAGACCCAAATTTTAAAAAACAATTATAAGTTTTTTAAATTTAAAAAAAAACTAAAAAATCGAACTCATCATTATGTGTAAAACGCAATATACACGCCCATAAAAGTGTAATACAATCCAAAACCTTATCAAAAGGTTCAAGCTAAAGAGCAAAACGCAGCCATGCTTAATGTCAACCACTTCAAAAAATCAAAACCAAAATCAAGCGGACACCTCACCTTGGGTCCGTGCACAAGAAATCCTTCAAACAAGACCGATAAAATCCTTCGCAATTACCGAAACCGAGACGAAATCGGGAAATTCGAATCAGTGACGAGTGCGAACTCAGGGAGCTCGGAGCAATGCTCGCGGAGTACGAAGGCGAAGAGAATGTCTGAATGTGCGTGACAATGGCGGAAGCGAAAACCCTAGAATGGAGACGAAGAGAGAATTTTACTTTTTTTGTTTTCCTTTATGGTGTGGCGTTGAAACTCGAAACTGGTATTGAGTGTGGGTGCTGTTGCTCTCTGTCTATATTTGTGCAATCCTTTTCTCCTCCGAGAGGAGAAGAAAAGAAGAGAAGAGGTGGCAAAAGCTACAAGTTGTAAGAGAGAGAGAGAGGAGAGAGGAGAGAGGGGCCTTTTTTGCTGAATTGGTTTTGGCCGCGCGTATGAAATTATATATGTGTTTGCAAGTGAACGGCCAGCACGTGCTCCACAGTTGTCCACTGGATTTCAAAAAAATTCACCCTGGTAATGGGTTAAAGTAATTTTCTTTTACCGTATAGCATCTTACACATTTCCATCCAAATGTTGTTATATACACCCAAGTTCCAACAAACATATCACTATACTCAACATTCCACCCAAAAAATATATAGATTCGGCCAGTTGACCATGATAGTGAGTTCGCTGCCTTGCATTCAAGTTTGAATCCCCCTATCCATAAATTGGAGTAGTTTAGAGTCTGATTACAGATTGCATCAACCAAAAGATAAAAAAAACTAATCAACACACAAAAAATGTCCAACTTTACATAGAGGCTTGAGAGCAGTTGGGAGAGACTTGCTATAATTGTGGAGATGTGTGTAGAGAGTTACAAATTACAGTGAGAGTGCCATTATATATGGAAAAACTAATGGGCCTCCTTTCATGGGGTTCTTGAAGTGGGCTAATGTCATGCCCAAATTATGGTACAAACTGTGCTAAATGTTTGCCTTTACATGCAGTGGCAATAGATTGTATTCATAATTCAGGCCTTATTGTTGTTAGTCATAAGGACCAATACGACCATATAGGGTTAATACAATTATAGAATCACATTAACCACAAGGGGTTAATCCAAATACGAAGGAGTCCAATAACAACATCAAGCGCACAACACGTACCTCGACTCATAACGGTAAGAAATTCTGGGGCAAAAAAAGTCGCAGACCTAGAAAAACCAAACATATACCTCATACAACCAAACTACAACTACAAACATGACCTTCTAACTCTCACAAGTATAAAATACAAGCAGAGACTATAAACATGCAATAAACTCAAAAGGAGTTGATGCACTTATTACAACTCACGAAACAAGTAAAAATAACCTGATATGCCACCACGTCGTCACCAAGAAAGCCAAACAGCCACCAAACTCAGCCAAAACGAAGGTGTTGGAGGGGAAGTGGAGAGGGAAAAGGAAGGTCTAGTTAGGTAATGAGGGAAGGGAAGGAGGGGGAGGAGAGGGATGCAGGCCACCAACCCCAAAGAGGATGACAACTAAAACTTTTCTTTTAATTACTCACTTCGTTTTCTTATACAACAATGTCACCAAAGAAACTTGAACTTAAAGTTTACCAACAAAATAGAAACTGAATTCCACTAGACCAAAATTACCTTCCTAAAAATAAATTTAATTTACCAAAAAAACATGAATTGAAATGTTCAAAAAAAAGTCCAGTATTTTTACTTAGGCCTTTTACTTTTCTCTTTTCCCCTTGTTGCACATCCCCTGGTTGCACTATCGGGCGGTCCACTTGGAAGTATGATCAGTGGTTGCATTTTGGTGCCATTAACTAGCCCAGCCCAACTCTTCCAACAAACCTACCTCAACCTTTCAGGTTGGCTACGTCCCTGCTTGATGGAGTTATATAGTTGAACTTTGGGCTTGCCGAGGTCCATGCTATAGAAAGAGAAGGATTCGAATTCGAATGTAAGAAAACGGCACACTATCCCGACCAATTAATCTAACTTATATTCAAATATGCTATAAACTATAATAAAACTATACCCAATATATGATTTATTATACTTTGAAATTTTGATTTTAGACATGTATGTGATGCAGTAAGTGGGCTTAAGTGGAGTGGAGATAAACTTATAATCTCACGCCGACAACAAAAAAAAATATGGGTTCTAATTGGGAGTGCTTAAAGAGACATGATGAACAACACTTATCATAAGGCCATATTTTAATTCATGCGAGAAGCTTTAGAAGCTTGACTGGCAAACAGAATCAGTGAGGTGGGTTTTGCTTATAGGGTCCCTAATTTACCTAGGAACTAGGAAGGGAAGGCAACTCGTGCAAACAATGGGGCCATGATAAATAAATGGGAATAACACTTTTACTTAGAAATTTTTCAGTGTGATTGTCATCCCGTTACGTTATATTATTAATTTACGTGTTATAGTATGCGTAAATAGTATAATTTATATTTTATAGATTTAGGGTATAATATGAATGAATAAAATACATATATTATAAATTTAATGAATTAGTAAATTAGTAACACTACGTGGCAATATAATTGTTACAGTAAATTTCACTCTTATTAGATATTTTGATTAATAATATAATGCAACAATGTGACTTCAAGAATTTTTCGTACTCTATAATGAGTTTTTTAGTATCTCCTTCACATGACCATATATTGTTACCAGTCCACCCATATTATAACACATGTATTTATTGATTCATACTATAACTTAGATCCTAACATATTAACCATGTCATCTACCCATATTCTAAAATATCGATAATATTGACGAAACATCGAGAATATTATCGTTTTTTTGGGTCATGGATATTTTGAAATGTATCCATACACATATCGTATAAATATCAATAATATCGAAAAATATTGATGTCTATAATTTTTCTCACAATTCAGCAATATTTGGCCAAAATATCGTTATTGTTAATATCAAGATGATGAAGACAATTAAAATTTTGAAGAGTTATTATTTGTCCAAAAATTGATGATTTCATGTATATATAAAATAAAAATAATAAAAAACCTTATTCAAATGAAAAAATTAACCTCAATGAAGTATATGCAATGTAATTTCAAATGCCAACTTTGTCATTTGGAGAATTTTTTTAAATAAAATCATCAATCTTTGGATGAAAAATCAATAAAAATGAGTTTTGTAAAAACAATTTAAAAGCTCAGGGGGTGTTCTTGTAATTTCAAAAGCCTCAAGGAGTTTTTTGTAAAAAAAGCCGAAAACCTCAAGAGGTGTTAATGTAAATAACTCAAATTTGAACCTTATAGGAACTCTATGTGTATCTTATCATGCAATTTTAAAGTGTAAAATATTATAGTAAATCATTATAAATAAACGATTGTGGTGTGTTTAAATCAGTTAAACCCATTATGTAATCCATTTTCTTGCAATTTTTTATGATAAAATAATAGATAATTGATTAAATAAACATTCTCCAAAGTTTCGTGAAATTTTTCTTAAAATTTATGTGGTTTTAATTCAATTTTATCGATATTGATAATATTCCGATATTTCCATCTAAATTTTCATATTTTTAGAATATCGATATTTTCGAAACTATCGATATTTTAAACCGTACCATATTATAAAGTAGATAAATTCGCTAGTAACACCGACATCCAGTAACTATAATTCTCCATCGACTAGTAGCTCATCAACTCATCAAATTACGTGTGTAGCCACGTGGCAATAGATTGGTGATGATGTGGACCATGCGGTTGGATCCCATAAGAATGATTCTCTCCTTATGCCACTCAAAGCCACTGTATCCGTTGATCTTTAAAGATGTCGGCATGAAGCTGAGCAGTCATCATAGCTTTGCAGTCAGAATGGGCATCATCACGCAGCAGCATCACCACGAGCGGTCCTCATTTCAACTGCAGCAAACCCCATCATCCGTACCCTTCGAATATTTATAAACAGGTCAGAAATATATATTTGAATTTTTACAAAAAAATAAAATAAAAAAATAAAATAAAATCAGAAATATTTGAGGGTCGGTGTGGGGATTATGATTTATGGTGATGGTGGCCGTACGAACCATCCACCAGGCCTTGTGAACACGGGGAACCACTTTGCCTTTGGTTGCTGCCGTATGTGGGGAGCAAGGTTGGCCCATCCATACGCTGAGATTCTAAAATGGTCCTATTCAAAATTATTTTTCCATATATAGGCCTTGCTAAATAGGAGAAGAAGAAAAAAGGGTAATAGTATCTTAATTGGTAGGTATTCAAGAATTAGTATTGAGAAAACCTACATACAATTCATCTTTACATCCCACAAATTCAAGAGATTTGATTAGCGATAAAATTCGTAGGATTTCGAGTCTCTGTATTTAGCATCCACATATTTACACGCGTTTAAAATTATTTTAACCATTTGATTAATCTAATGGAATTGATTTGTCCACGTCATAATAATTGTATTAGACTAAACAATCACCCATTGCAACCTTATCGTTTTCACTTATCCGTCTAAAGTGTCCCCTCCTTTCTCGCATGCATGTTGGTCCTCCATTGTTAACAGGAGTATGTTTATTAAATTGAATTTTTGTATATAAAAAGAAGATTTAGAAGAAATATGATAAACATGAAGGACCAAGAATCAACCCAAAGCCACAATGGATGAAGAAATTTGTCCACAAAATTCAACGCATTTTCTAATTTCATTGGCAGTGAATAAATAATTAAGGAGTTAGCCCAGAAACCCAAGTTGTTCAATTGTCCCAAAAATTCAATTAATTTTATAATTTAAGTGGGCAGTGAAGAAAGAATTAAGGAATTACCCATTAAGCCAATTTTTCTTTTTTTTTTTTTTTTTTTTTTTTTTTTGGAAGGAATTTGGTATGTTATGCCTTTTAGTCTGTCAATTCATATTTGACTTTTAGATTTGTGAAAATTTTGCAACTTGAAGTATAGAGAAGTTAGAGACGTGCCTCTCTATACTTCATTGAGGGGATTGTTAGATTTGTGGGGGAAAGACACAAATATGGTATTAGACTAAAAGGATACGGTGCACCCCTCGGTGACATGGATTGATTAAATTCATTAGATTAATTAAATGGTTAAGATCTTTTTACATGCGTGTAAATACATATATACTAAATACAGAGACTCGGGATCCCAATTTGAAATATGATTCAAGTAGTTTTATTTACTTAAAAGAATGAAGCCAGAACAATTCAATATTTGGAGAAGACATAAGCTGAAATTTTATCATTGTTCCTTATTATCTCAATCCATGATATACTATACACTAAAGAGATGAAGTCTACTTATATAAGTAATCTAAGTTAACCCGTCCTAATTCTAACTCATTTTCTCGTTCTAAGGTTAACTCGGATTTATACTACTGATAATACTTTAACATACGTGTAACATGTTACATGCACAATGAGTTACGCTTGTGCTTACGGAGAGTATCATGCGACATTTGACTTGGCATCAATAAATAAGTATTTTATATTTTTCTATGACCATGGAAATTGACAAGGGGAAGCTGATCCGCATCTACTCATGCAAAACAAAAAACAAAACAAAACAAAAAAGAGAGCTCCCAGGGCGAACGAGAAAAAGAATATAATAATAAAATAAATATAGAAAAGACCCTTCATTCAAGGCGACACAATGATACGTCACGGTACAAACATTTTCTGTTTGATCACCAAAACCGTCTAAGCACAGCACAGAATACCATCATCACCGTCCACGTGTAATCATTTTTTGCTCAATCAACGGTCACTTTCTTTCCAAGTTCAAACTCTCTCTCTACGCAAAGCCGTATATATTTCCTTACTTGGCGGTCTCTCTTCCTCCTCATCAGTCCTCCCACTTCGCAGCCCGCGGAGTGCTCCTTCTCCCTAGTCTATCTCTCTCTGTCCAAACTCTAAACTCACTCTCTCTCTCTAAAATCTCGTGAAACTGAGAAATTTTGGAATTTTGGTAATTTTTTAGGTTGGAAGTTTTGTTTTTTTTCCTAAAAAATCAGATCCAAATTGGATCATTTCCTTTCTTGTTCAAGAATCAAAACTTAACAGCTTCAAAAACTCAAGCTTGTGCGGTGACTGGTGAGTGAATCAAGAGCCGAGCTTGTATGCTTAATTTTCAAGCTTTATTTGAATTTTGTTAATTTAACCCAGACAATTCCAAGTTGAAAATATGCAGTCTCTGTTTGGCTGGTGAGAAAATGTAAAGGAAAGGAAACTCTTGACTTGGATTGTCACCAGTCTTTAACTGTTTTGGCTTCACTTCTATTAAAGCTAGATATTTCCATTCAAATATCTAATTTCACATACTTTTTCCCTTTTTGCTTAGGTTGTGTGGTCCAAAAGGATCAAATTAAAGTAAAGATCTCATTTTTCTTACAATATGTTCACTTTTTTCCAACCCCAGAAAACGAAGGCCTTGAGATTTGTCTCCAAAGGCTTTGACTAGAACAGTTAACTGGCACTTGTGTTTTGCTCCAGTGCCAAGTACAATGGTGGTCGACGTGAGCTCACTTTCAGAGAGATCGGTGGAAATGCTGATGACCTCAGACCACACCTCCGTGGTGTCGATGAACCTGTTTGTGGCTCTTCTTTGCGCTTGTATTTTACTTGGTCATTTGTTGGAGGAAAGTCGATGGATGAATGAGTCCATAACCGCCCTTGCCATTGTGAGCCAGCTTAATTTTCTGTATCTGTATATGTATGTGTGTGTGTTTGATGGAGAATTGAATTGAGAATGACTTTGTGTGAGTTTTGTTTTGGTGGGCAGGGACTGTGCACTGGAGTTATTATATTGCTAACCACTGGAGGGAAAAGCTCCCATTTATTAGTTTTTAGTGAAGATCTCTTCTTTATATATCTGCTTCCGCCTATCATTTTCAATGCCGGGTAAGTTCAACTGGGTTTTATGGATGCACCTTTTAAGTTTTAAATGACTGTTTACATCAGATTCATTATTCATTCACTTTTAGTTGTTATAATTATGGGTTTGTCTAATCAGTTTAATTAAAGCTTCTAAAGTAACATAAATGGTATGAAACGACAGGACTTCTGTTCAATAACAAGAGCTGGCGTGAATAGCGTAAGATGTATGATTTATATGATTGATTCTGTTGGAGATAAGCCAACAGATGAGGGGTATCTTCATGTGGTCATAAATTTTTTCTATTTCGTTTTTTTCCTTGAAAAACGACCAATGATTTTTCATCATTCAATCATGCAAATCAGGAGTAGAAAACGATCTTCCTGCAAAATGAATTGATCTATTTAAACCTTTCACAGGAGTAAGTTGATGGAATTAGAAAAAGGCTATTTCGAAAGTTTTACTTACTATTTATTACTAAATTGGCAGTAGATTATGATTGATCTTTTCTTTCCAACATCATCAGGTTCCAGGTAAAGAAGAAGCAGTTTTTTCGTAACTTCATGACTATCATGACGTTTGGTGCTGTTGGCACTCTCATATCCTTTGCCATCATATCCTTAGGTAAATCGCAACCTGAGGATTTTAGCTTTTATAGCTTAGGTTTGTGCTGTAAAGGTTTAAAGATGTGAGGCACTTTAGGTGTGCTAGGATATAAAAAATTGTTGGAAACAATAAATCATTTAAAGTTTGACTTGGTTGTGAACTAGCTTCGGTATTTCCAGTTTCTAAGTTCTTATATGTGTCAGCACTTTTAGTTGGGTGAAATCTCTATTGATGCCACTGTAGTGTAAACATGATATGGTACAAGTGTTCACTAATTATCAGAATCTCTTTTTTGTTAAGTGTTCCAATCATTCAGAATCATTTGGAACTTCATTTAAAAAATAGTTAAAATCTTTGTCAGACACTTGAATTGAATAACTGATTTTATGGAATCTATTAAATTCACCAGAAATACACAAAACTTGCTGCATGTGCAAATTTATTCTTTTGTGATGGTCATAAAGTGACTCAAGACATTTTATGATTCAACTGAAAATCTGGAAAAAGGAAAATAATCTGAATCAATCATCAATTTTTTTACAGAACAAAGTTATTAAAATTCACAACTTTGGTTACTTAAAACAGGTAAGTGGATGTCTAGTCCTTGTTCTTTTCTGCACCACATCTATTTGGAAACACTAACTGTGTGTGCAACAATGCGTGTGACTCCATTAGCAGACATCTTTATCAAACAGCTATTTGTGTGGGTGGATGAAGAGGTTTACATAGTGTGATTTATATTCTTAGATGCTATAGCTTAAAAAGAAATGAGTTTCCTTGCGTTTCCAATGTTCTAAAGGTGAAGATGTACAATTTTACATTTACTTTAGCTTCATTTGCGATAAGAGTTATTTTGGGTCAGTTTGTTTCTGTTTGTCACGTATTCTGTTGTTGATACTCTTTGACTTCGATTGACCAGTGGAGAATTTTAATCACAGGCTTTCCGTGTTAATGAATTCTTTTTTATTTTGATCCAGGTGCTATGCACTTTTTCCACAAGTTCAATATTGGTTCCCTCAAGATTGGAGATTATCTTGGTATACCCAATTTTTCTTTATGATATCAAACGATTTTTGTTTTGTTTTGATTCCATTACTTCCTGCTTAATTGTGTTAGTTCCTTGGTTGCAGCCCTTGGTGCGATATTTTCTGCAACCGATTCTGTTTGCACCTTGCAGGTATGCATTGTCTTGACTCTTCTGAAGCTGTGCTCTTGTTGCAGCTTTAAGAAAGACACCTGAATTAAATCCAAACTCTCAATGCAGGTGCTTAATCAGGATGAGACACCTTTGTTATACAGCCTGGTTTTTGGGGAAGGGGTGGTTAATGATGCCACATCAGTGGTGCTTTTCAATGCAATCCAGAGCTTTGACCTCTCTCACATCAATACAAGCACTGCTTTGCAATTTATAGGAAACTTCTTGTATTTGTTTGCTGCAAGTACAATTCTGGGAGTTGTAGTGAGTCCCTCTCTCTCTCTCTCTCTCTCTCCCCCCCCCACCTTTCCCCTTACCAAAAAAAAAAAAAAAAAAAAAAAAAAAGAAGACACATTTGTGCCTCTGATATGACCCATCCTTTTATTTTTTCTTGCAGGCTGGACTACTTAGCGCATATATCATTAAGAAGCTCTATTTTGGCAGGTTTGTAAGAAATAGTATCTTGCTGGCATTTTGCTTGTGATACCATGAATATGATTGAGTGAAGGCAATAAGAAAGTAACCAATTAATTTTCAGTCAGTAGGAGCAAAATTAATGAATTGCTGATTTTCCATCAAATCACCTATTGTACCACTACATAAATGGCTATAAGATACCCAAGCAAAGACACATTAAATTACTTTTTTATTAAAAAATAAAAATAAAATGCTATACTTTTATGCTTCTGGTTGGAATCTTAAAAGAATGGGAGTGCATGAATATTGGATAAAACTTAAAAGTATTACCTGCCTGCAAGAGAACTGTTCCTTTTCCTTCTCCCCCCTTTGCACATGATTTTTTTTAATTTTTTATAGAGTTTCTAATTATGTAATGTTGTGAAAAACCCACACAAACCACACAACAGAAATTGCCAAATATTAAGTAAAGATATAGAGAGAGAGGGAGAGAGAGAGAGAGAAAAAAATGTGGTGCGGAAAACTTGCCTACATCCACAGGAGAGGGAGACTGAAAATCTACTAACTATCAAATTTTTTGTTTTACTTTATGTTGAAAGACAGGTAATTTTCAATGTGATTTTGAGTAGTGCTCTTATGCTTGTTTTTGCAATTTACAAAAATCAGACACTCAACGGATCGTGAAGTTGCTCTTATGATACTCATGGCTTACCTTTCATACATTCTATCTGAAGTAAGATTTCTGGAAACTTGTACATCCTCTCTCTTTTGTTCTTGTTTCTTGTCTAAAGGGAGATCTGACCATAAGTTAAAAATTTGATTTATCTTGCAGCTGTTTTATTTAAGTGCCATTCTCACTGTGTTTTTTTGCGGAATTGTTATGTCTCACTACACATGGCATAATGTGACTGAAAGTTCCAGAGTGACAACTAAGTATGTTGAATCTCCATAAAACATTTTCCTGGACAATTGAAAGTCAGTCTTATTGAATTTGTCTATAGCTCTGGAAATCATTGCTGGAATAGCTGTTATGTTACTGATGTTTCAATTCTCTTTACCAACTAATGCAGGCATACTTTTGCCACTCTGTCATTTGTTGCTGAGATTTTTATCTTTCTTTATGTCGGCATGGACGCCTTGGACATTGAGAAGTGGAAATTTGTGAGCGATAGGTATGCTTAATGCATAAAATGGAGATTGGCCTCCTTTAGACTCCTTCCTTCTTGTACATGTGTGTCAGACAGTGTTTACTTGTTCTTGATTATTAAGTTGATTTTTGTTTTGCTTCTTTATTCAGCCCTGGCAAATCTATAGCAGTGAGTTCAATACTGTTGGCACTGGTTCTGGTTGGAAGAGCAGCCTTTGTTTTCCCCTTGTCTTTCTTAACCAATTTGACTAAGAAATCTCCATCTGATAAAATCAGTTTGAAGCAACAGGTAAAAGTTTATCTTTTTTTTCTTTCCAGTTGTCTCTTTTGGTATAGATTCTTTGAATCAAATGAATATTACACTTCTCAATGGGTTGTCTGGTTTTCAGGTTACAATTTGGTGGGCTGGGCTTATGCGTGGCTCTGTTTCTATGGCACTTGCTTATAATCAGGTAAACATTGAACATTGTCCTTTCTGTAACCTATGAGACTGCTATGTTCTAGTCTTTGGAACTTTCATAACTATGTATAAAAGCCAGAGTAAATCCTTGTTGTGTGCTTATGGTACCGGCTTTGAACTGTCTTTGCTCTATACTGCTGTTACAATGATGTTGAGCAATTTTAAGCTCGGCAAAGTGTTCTGTAACACTAGCATTGATATTTTGTTGTGAACTAGGTTTGAAAAGAAAAATAAATTATATAATGAGTTCCTAATTTGTATGTGTATGCAGTTTACTAGGTCTGGCCATACTGACTTGCGTGCCAACGCGATCATGATCACCAGTACTATCACAGTTGTTCTTTTCAGCACGGTGGTAAGAAGCCAGTGGCTAAAAAACTAGAGCTCATTTGGGACACATTTCATATATCAACCACAAATGACTGGTTTGGCTATATTCTATCCTTCTGTTTATGCAGGTATTTGGTTTGATGACTAAACCACTAGTGAGGATTTTGCTTCCTTCATCAAAACACATCAGCAGTATGATATCTTCTGAACCATCTAGTCCTAAATCAATCACTGTGCCACTGCTCAGCAATGAGCAAGATTCAGAGGTGAGCCTTGGGGTGCAAGATTCAGAGGCAAATCATGGGCCCGTGAACATACCCCGTCCAACTAGTTTACGAATGCTCCTAAGCAGTCCTTCTCACACTGTCCACCATTATTGGCGAAAATTTGATAATGCCTTCATGCGGCCTGTGTTTGGTGGGCGGGGTTTTGTACCTTATGTTCCAGGCTCACCTGTCGAACAAAATGATCATCAATGGCATTGAGAAGTAACTGATACACATATAAGCTCTAATTTATGTAATTTATAGGTTTGGATTGAAATCGGCTTCAGTGTGCATTTGTTTATACATAGCAGAATTTGGAGTGTGGTGACAGCATTTTACACAAGGTGAGCTGCTTGTTCCGTGTGGTGGTTCAAAATTTTCGTGTCTGTTCTGTGTGGTGGTTCAAAATTTTCGTGTCTGCATAGGTTGCTGACTAGATTAATTCCTTGACGGTTCGTACCCTTGTAAGTTTTGCGTGATTGGTGTTGTGTATTGATGATTTTGTAATGATCCTTCAGAATTTTGATTTCCAAAATTTCAATGTTATTAGCTTTTATGGTTGCATGTTTTTGACAAAACCAGATCCAAAACAGACCCATTTCTTACTGAAATATATGAAAGTGCTTCTGGCTCATCGTTTCTCATTTGCATAATGAATAAAAGAAGTTATTGTCAGCAAATGTGGTTGGTTAGGCTAAGGCAGTGTGACCATGCTCCCTTGCATCCGATCCTCTTCCCGTATATTAGAATAGTTGAGAATACCGCTCTTGTCACAAAAATAATAAGAGATTATTGTCGTTTATTTAAATGAGCAGTCATTTTCAGATTGATACATGTCGTTTCAGATGTTAGTTTTACGCTTAATACATGTTTTCATGTCAGTTCTATGATTAAATCACGGGCATAAATTTTGATTTGAACCATACTTTGAACTCGAAAAAAGTAACCAGATTTGCTACATTCAACAATTTTGTTTTTTTGTTTTTTTGAAAAGGCTAAAATCAACATTGATAACTGAAATTCATGGAACATTGGCTTCAAAAAAAATTTGGCATCAAGAAAATGACATTCCTCTATAAAATTTTATTTGAGAGATCAGCTCTTACATGCAGAATTCAGATGGGTCCATATTTTACACATCAGACTGAAAAACATCTCTGGTGTCAGAAACATGCAAGCAGATAGATCCTTCTAAATTAGCCATGAAGGAGAAACAGCTTTGTCTTACTGTCTAATATCTGAGCCATAATTTTTTTCTCTACGGATGGATAAAGTATCCGATTGCTAGACTGATGAGAGCAACCATACAAACATAAAAGAGAGGGAAGCCAACCATAATCCTTTTGACATTGTTCTTCCTCCTCAGCAACTCCTACAAAAAGAAAAGGCAGACAATCAAATCCCTAGACTGGGGCTCATATATACAACATAAACACAGCATACTATTAAAGAAATTGGAAAGAGCAGCAAGGCTCAAATCATGAGAAAAGAAGACTGAAGCAAAACAATCAATTGACGAGATAGAAATTGGATTGGTCCAAGAGAGAGAAACCAATTATTTTAAGAAAATGAAAAGTCAAACAGAGAAACTAGCATTTCACCTCTTCACCAGTTAATATTCCTTGTAGCTCAAAAATTCAGATATTTAGATTATTCAAATCAGGGTGTTTTTAATTCTATATTATTCTTGTGATTTTAGTCATCCAATTCTCTCTCTCAACCTGCATACTATCTGATTCGAAGGCAATTATGGTAGAGAATATATACTGCATTTACAGCTTGTGCGGCTATCCTCTAATGAAGATAACAGAAAAAAGGATTCGTGGAATAAATTACTCACCAATTCATGTTTAAGCATATTCTTCTCGCGAGTGGTCATGCTTCTCTCTTCTGTTAGCTTCATGATGGTAAGTTCAGCCTGCAAAGAAGATATGACATTGAAATTACTTTTATTTACATTTTCGAGGGGATATGTTAACATTCTAAATAGAACTAGGAAGCAGCTCCTAGTCCGCCTCATTGGGATATGGACTATCAAAAAGGGGGGAATCTTAGGAAGAACAAAGTTTGGTATTCACACCATTTCTCGAATAGTAGATATGTATCTAAAAAAATTTAACATACTTCAACATGTTTAGAAAGTAGACCTCTACCCATATTATTCCCCTGTCAGGTTCCTTAAATTCAGATATTTCTCCAAAAATCCTTCCAAAGAGAATTATAACACCTATATCAAAAAGAAGGATTTCATGGTTACCACGCTATAAAGATAGATCTAGATGAGAAAAACTGACCTCTTTTAGCTTTGAATCCACTGTATTTAGCTTCAATTTCAATTCCTCAAAATCCTTTGTTAAATTCAACCCAACAGCATCCTTAGCTGGTTTCAATTCCTCCACAACCTTAGCTAGTTTCAATTCCTCCCCAATGTTAGCTGGTTTCAATTCCACCACATCCTTAGCTGGTTTCAATTCCTCGACATCCTTAACTGCTCTTGACTCATCCATGTCCTTATAAGTTTCAAACCCCTCAACATCCTCAGCAACCTGGCACAAGGAAAACAGATCGTGGTGCAAGGGTCAGTACAATATGTGTGAACAACTGTTTTATGAAAATACACTTTCAGACTTGATTGCAATATAAAATAGCCATTCCTGGAAATCAGGGTTCAGATCAATATTTCTGCTTCCAGATAATTGGCTCCAAACAAAATTATGTCCCCGACTAATGTACAGATGGCAAACAATGTCAAAATGCTAATGCAGATGTCCTATAGTGCTCCCGCCCACGCATTGTCAAGAAAAAAAATGATATTTGGATACGTACACACAGAGCAAGAAATTCATGAAAAAGGAAACATAAAAAAAAGTTAGGGGGTCAGTTGAGAATCAGTTTAAACAGATAACAGTATTGCTCTTACCCCATGAGGTGGGGGTATGTTTTCAACTCCACTCAGAACTCTATCCTTTTTCACTGAATTTTCATAACATGGATCTTGCTTCGACTCTCCATTAATTGGTACAAATACTGGGGAAGAGGGTGGGCTGATGAGCACCACTCTTAGTTTCTTCTCTTCAATGTATTTGCCACTATCTTTTGAGAACTGCCAAGAAAAGGAGAAATTAAAATGAACATTTTTTTATGAAAAAGTTAGATCAAGAGAACCAATAATTCTTACTTTCTTACCATGTCAGATGTAATTTCCTCTTCAGTTGTCCCGAATGGAATAACTGTGCTCAGGATAAGGAACTTGTCTTTGCACTGCAAATCAGGTGGCGCAACACGCTGAGCTTGCATAGTAACTGCATTGACAAAAGAGGTGAAGAGCGAAAAGTCCATTAGTTTTGGTACTAGATTTTTGGTCTGCACCACAACGGGCTACTGGTCACTTCTCTAGTAACATGGAAATTTATGTTCAATTTTATAGTGTACTCGTTCGGGACAGCTCTTGATCATTACTTTAATCTTACTAACGAGGTCACTATAATACATGTATGTAAGGGGAAAGAGTACTGCTATCATGACGGCAAAGGCGTATTGGAGAAAAACTCAAGAACCCAAGATGGGGATGGATAAGTAAGAACAAAGAAGACAGAATGAAGAACATAAGACCTGTGAAATCACATGTTGCCTTGGGTTTTATGATGCCAGCGTTAGGCCGCACGCAGTATTTCTTTGGAGAAGTGGTTTTTACCTGCGCATAGATTTTGCCAAATTGCAAAGCATTAAGCACCAATCCAATCTTCTTAAGTCCTAATCAAACCCCATTTTCATCAATTTGGACATATTTTCATGAAAAGTGAGTAAGGATATGTTTCCATGCACACAAACACAGAGCATACAAAAGCTATATAAATAATTAAGAATAACAGAATAACAGTTGTGAAAATTGAAGCAATACCTTGAAAGCAACATAGTGATCAGACTTATTGATAAGTTGAATCGAGCATAAACTTTGCTTCTTCAACTCAACTACAAGAGGGAAAGAAAATCAAGAGACAATTAAAAACATTAAACAAGTCAGTTTGATTTGGATTCTTGGTTCTTGGGTTTTGATGAAACCATACTAATAAAACCAAAAAGAGTGAGAAGTTACATGTGAATTTGAGTTCGCGGGGTTGAACATCCAAAAGCTCTGTGGTCATCATCACTGTCAAACCTGAGAAAACGCAGGCAGATGTGAAGAACCCAGATGAAGAAAAGAGCCAAGAAGGAAGAGAGAGAGAGAGAGAGAGAGAGATTGTGAGAGTCTGAATGGCAGAAAGGTTGGTGTGTTGGTGATGTGAAGTACTATATGAAGAAGGTTAAGGCGAAGCAGAGAAGTGAAAGCAAAGAAAGCATTTGGGGATTGTGTTGTTGGTTGCAGTAGGTCTGTGTTTCTCTCTCTCTCTCTCAATTGTGAACGGTTGTACCCGCTTTCTCTTCCATTTTCTTTCTTAGCAAACACCCAACAGAGCAAATAGACCCAAATGCCCAAGATGGTATCAGAGGAGAAGATAGATTTTTGTGACAGAAAATGAAACCCATCAGAGGGCCAAAGGCTCAAAGCAAACCCACCAAACTAGACGAGCTGGCCGTACGTGGGTTGCTGCCACTGTGACTGTGCCACATGCACTTGTACAGTCTCTCTTTTTACCTCACCGAAAGTAAAAGGCTAAAAGGAGGAGAGGCCAAGAAAATAAGAACTGCTTTTATCCGCCTTTTTCTTTACCTTTTCCTAAGGGGAAAGGTAGGAAGTCAAAAATGAGTACAAAAAGAAAATTTTGATCAATGTTATGTTGTATGTGATGTTATATCACACATGATTGTTTTAGATATGAAGGAAAATATTTGAGAGGGTGGGAGGGGAATTTTAAGCTTGTGAGGGCAATGAGGGTTTTACTTTCGAGTTCGGATTCCCCTTTTAGTTGGTCCCATCTTGTAATTAAAATAATAACGTCAAACCAACCAGATCAAGAGCCATGAGAGATGTTGGTATGAGTGGGGATAAAAAAGAAGAAGAAGCAAATCATTTTCTGGATCTCTTGCAATAATAAATGATGCATAAGATAGCAAATGGAAAGCAAAGATCTATAATTTTGTAATCTTTTCATTTAACTGAATATATATATCATCCACAACAGAGCTTTACCAAAAGAATTTTATGCCTTTAATTTTTAGAACTCACAGGAGCTTGGAGCTTTTAAGCCAGCCCAATTCAGCACCATACCTTGTCAACTAGTGGAATAAAGAGCTGGCAAATGTAGGCAAGTTAGGCCTTCCTAACCAATAGACAATCTTTCCTTTGTACTTAGCCATGCTTTGATTTAATTATGAGTGTTAGCAAATGGAAATATTTGGTTGGAATTTATAGCTAGGAAGCAACCAAAGCCAAGGCTAACACAGCATTCTAGTTTACCTAACTGAATTGTGCAACCCACAGTTTGACAAAGAGACTCAAAATAAATCACGACAACCAAGACAGCACATAGATTGAAGGTGTGTCAGCAAGCAATATATGTGCACATTACACATATACCTATGAAGCTGCATTCACCATGAGGCTGATGTGAATATGCAACAAAATTACTCAAACCTATAATGTGAGTTCGTAAATTATGGGAATGTGTCCGTCTTTCTATATTCGAGTTCGAACCTCCAAACTTACGTCGTAAGTATTTAGAGTATTATTTTTTATAAAAAAAAAAAAAAAAAAAAAAAAAAAAAAAAAAAAAAAAAAAAAAAATTCTAACTATTTTAGGGACCAGCTGCCCTTTGATTTGGAATGGACGTGTGGAGTTTCTTGTACAGTATTGCACCTGGTGTTTCAAGAAACAGCAGTGTGTTTGGTTCATAAGAAAAGGGGAATCATTTCATTTCGCATTTTTTGTAAATTTAAACATAGAAAATGGTTTCTTGGTACATAAGAAAAGGGAGGAAAATGAAACTTCCTACGGAAATTTGTCCCCATTAACAATTTAGAATTACAATTTTATCCAACAACAATTCTTTTTTATTTTATATTTCTAACATATGTATAATATAAAGCAAAAAGCAGAGAATGTTGAAACATTCAAAATACCACAAAATTTCCTTGGTTAATGCAAACATTAATAATTTAAATTATTAATTAAATGAGGATAATATGGTAAAATTTAAAACAAAATTAGATAATGGGTCCTATTTTTATGAAACACAACTACCCATCATTTTTTTAAATTATAAAATAAAAAAAGAAAACCAGTTGACACATGCATGAATAGGTATAGTTGGAAAAATAAATCTAATTTGTTTTTCATTTCTATACAAATTAAATATAGAAAAGGAAATATAGTGGAATTTCATGGTTACATTCCTAGCATTGCCAAATAATGGGAAATATTCCTAAAAACATGAAAAATAATTTTCTATCAAATCCTTTCAGCGAAGCAAAAACAAAATTAAAGAAAATGATAGTTCTAATGAGATTTGCAAGGAATCATTATCCTAAGTTTTCTATTTATGCATACAACATATGCTTACATGGTTGTCTGCTGCATATGTATTGTTTTTAATAAATAAAAAATTTAATTGTCCTTTTAAGTAATTTGACATAAAGAAAAAATTGTCATTGAAATAATCTATTAAAAATGGGTGAGAAACTGCAACGGATTCATTAGTGTAGTGGTTTAGAGCAAATGTTCCTACAAAAAATGTCTTGGGTTCAAGTTCTAGAATTCGTGTAGTATGTAAAACGAATCTCATGAAATAGATACTTCTAATCACTTGAACTACAAGCCCTTTGCGAACTACTATTGTTTTTCGGGTAAACTACCGAATTACCCCATAAACTTATACCTAATTATCAATTTACTCAATGACATTTTTTTAAAGAAAATTAAAGACTCGAACTAAATTTTATTGCCAATTCTCTCCTATCGTCCAAATCAACATGTCATTCAACAATCCGTCAAATCATTAAAAAATATATTTTTCAAAATGAAAAAAAAATCCTATGGACCCCCCCAAAAACAACAATTAACTAAGGTGAATTATTTTTGGAGAAGGACCCCAAAAATTTAAATGGAATGAATTGTTTGTTGGGAAGAAGCGTAAAGTATAGCTCCAAATGCATCTGCAACTTCCCACACACAAACAAGCCAGCCACAGAGCATACGGAATAAACCAGAATTTGCAATTTACAAGCACACCAGCACAATCAAACATTCTCTCTTTCTCACGGTCTTCTTCTCCACCCCATTCCCCGATGACCACCAACCCTTCACTCTAAACCAATCCCCTACCTCTCTTCCTTCAGTTTTTTTTTACCCCCAGACCATTCACCCCTTCCCATCCTAACCCGATTCTCCCATGACTAACACCCCTCAACGAACCCCCGCAACCACCCATTTTCTTCTCCATCATTCCCCATGAACACCATTGCAAGCATATATATTATTTCACACATTTAAAATGATCAATTTGCCCTCATATTTAACGACAAATTAGATGAAATGTTGATATTTAGATGGTAAATGGGGAATTGAGAATAAAATTTAGTTCGAGTCTTTAATTTTTATTTTTATTTTAAAAGATCATAGGGTAAATTAATAATTAAATACAAGTTCAAGGGGCATTTCGGCAGTTTTGAGCGGAAACGAAGACAACTGTCAGAGTGGCTGCACCAAAGATATTAATTACCATAAATACCCTGGATCCATCAAGGAGGCAAACAGTAACAAATAAATAAGGAGGAGGAGGCCCAAATAGTCGCAATTTCGATAAAAACAAAGCGAAAAAGCCCAACAAATCCCAACAAACACCAAGAAACAACAAACGCCAGCATTTATAAAACCTGTTTGAAGACCCTCCTCCTCAAATCAAAAACCCACTCTCTCTCTCTTTCTCTCACATACACACTCTTCGTGCTCTCCGCCTCTCTCTCTCTTCTTCTCGTTTTTACTTCTTTCAATATCAGATCTCTCTTCTGTCGACACCAATGGCTTCTCTCACACAAGCTTCTACTGTTCTTTCAACCTCCTTCAAGCCCACCTTGGTATTACTTTCCCCGTCTTCTGTTGTCATTTCTCTGTTGTTAATTACAATCTAATTTTCAAGATTTATGATTCTCATCATCCTGTTTGTTTGTTTTGTTTTCACGATTTGAGGTTTTGCTATTAGATTTGGATCTTCGGTTTGTTGAATTAATGAATCTGGATAAATTGTTGAGCTTGTTTGTGATTCTTTGTGGTCTACTGTCAATCTTGCAGCTTGCTTCCGTTTCTTATTGATTGAAATGGGTGATTTCGATTTTATTAGGTTGAGTCTGAGCTTCTTTTGCTAACCATTAAGTTTGAGTTTTTAATGAGACGAGAGAGTAAGCTTGAGTTGAACATTCTGGCTCAAATTGACTTTTTGATATACTATTTTGAAGTTTGGGAGCTGCACCATGTCTGCATGTTATTAGGTTAGAGTTAGACATTACATTAACCAGAGTTGTCATCAAGACCCATTACACGGTGGGTCCCATTTGGAGTTTTGAGTCGACTTGTCTGTGATTGATTTTGTGATGTAGACTGTTGAACTTTATGTTTTAGTTCAAGAAAATGATGGAACAAAATTGCTCTAAATTTCATACTTCTTCCTCTCTTGTAACTGCCCAATAACACCTTATCAAGTTAAAGGAAGGTGTAGAGGTTGTAAGATATTTGCTAGGTAGGAGATTGAATGTTTAGAAGGCATATGTTGAGGTTATCTTTTTCATGATGTCAATTTTTAGATAACAGAACAATATTGACTTAGAAAATTTAGCTTCCTTACATGTTGCTCTATGGTTGAATGTTGAAGCAGGCAGCCAGCAGCAGGAGCTCTGGTCTGAAGTCTGTTTCCTTTTCCATCACTGGAAAGCGCTTCCCATCTCTCAGTTCCCGACCTGGGCATTTTCAAGTTTCCTGTTCGGTAAGCTCAATTGATTGTAATGCTATTGTTGCTTTTGGTTTTTTTGTTGTTGTTGTTTCATTTGCCCCAGCGGTCTCATGGATAAATTTCTGCGTATCTCCACTTTTGTTGATGTGGCATTAGTTTGTAATTTATCTATAAATTTTATTTCTAATTGGTTAAATATGATTAGTGGTTGGACTTGTTTGGAAAATTGATTTTGTTCCCTTAATACATTACACTTTTTAGAGAGGTTTAACTTTAGTAAAACAAATTATCCTTTGAGGTCCTCTTAAGACATGGAGTGCTGTTTCCTTTAATGCAGACCTCAGAATGTCTCCTTTTTTGGGATAAGAGAGGACCTGATAGCAAATAATGTCATCTCAGAAAGCCAGTTCTTTGTACCTTTAATGTGCTCTTGGCTCGCTATGATGCCTATACTCTTACGTACTTTCCTTGTATCTGTGAAACAAATTATCTTTTGAGGTCCTCTTAAGACATGGAGTGCTGTTTGCTCTAATGCAGACCTCAGAATGTCTCCTTTTTTGGGAGAAGAGAGGACCTGATAGCAAATAATGTCATCTCAGAAAGCCAGTGCTTTGTACCTTTAATGTGCTCTTGGCTCGCTATGATGCCTACACTCTTCCATACTTTCCTTTTATCTATGAAACAACTTATCTTTTGAGGTCCTCTCAAGACATGGGGTGCTGTTTCCTCTAATGCAGTCCTCAGATTGTCTCACTTTTTTGGCTAAGAGAGGACCTGATAACAAATAATGGCATCTCAGAAAGCCAGGGTTTGTACCTTCAATGTTCTTTTGGCTCGCTATGATGTCTACATTCTTCCGTAGTTTCCTTTTATCTATGTAGCAAATTCTCCTTTGTATATCAAAACCATGTGATAGGTTGCTTAGCTTTGTGTTGTTTATGTAAAAAAAATTCTTGAACATAGTTTTGGTAAGTTCAGTGGTCTATGATCATGAATTTGTCTAACTTTGATCATGAAAATGGCTCACATTCTTGAAAAATCAGTCCTATTCTGTAATATTAATAACTAGTAATATGGTATTATTACTTCTTTGTAGGCCAAACCAGAGACTCTGAACAAGGTGTGTGACATAGTGAAGAAGCAGTTGGCTTTACCTGAAGACACAGCTGTGACCCCAGGCTCAAAGTTTGCTGAACTTGGCGCTGATTCTCTTGACACAGTAATTCCCAACTATCTTTTGTTGCTTTCATTTTCTACCAAGCCGATTAATATTGTAGCTTTCTGTAGTTTTTTCTTTTCTACAATGCAAGTTGAATTTTAAAATGACAGCGTTTTTACAGAGTGGATACAACAAGCCACGGTGTCCGATTTTCGTTTACATTTGAATATATATGGCTATTTTCTTCAGTGCATCTTCCACGAGGAGAAAACGACATGCATGTCACAAGAATGTGACTGATCATTCATTTCCCACATTGTTTTTATACAGGTTGAGATTGTGATGGGACTTGAGGAGGAGTTTGGCATCAGTGTGGAGGAAGAAAGTGCCCAGACCATCGCCACTGTTCAAGATGCAGCAGATCTGATTGAGAAGCTCGTTGAGAAGAAGAGTACTTAATAGTTTAGAGAGAATCAGAAAAACCTACGGACCTTTTTCTTCCTTTAGTTTTTCTTTGTTTTTGTTTTTGTTTTGTACGAGCTTTATATTATGGTTTTGGTACTTTAATTATCTTCTGGATATTTTAGTGTTCTTAAATGTGATGATCTCAAGTGGTGTTTCTTTTGTTCTGAATTTGTCTTTTTTATCTGATGAAGAATGAAAAAATACTGGAAAAATAGTTAAAGTTCTGAAAATTTTCTTACTCTACCTTCATTTATGATATTTGGATTAGTCTTTAAATACAAAAGTTCATTCTATTTGAACTTCTAATAATATTGCCTCTTGAATAGAAATTTATTTATTTAGAGATTTTTTATTTAAACTTCTCTTTGTTCACCCCAATACTTAAATTATTAAACTATACATTTTATTATTGTGTAAAAAGACCAAAAAGGTCATCCAACTTAATAATTAACCCTAGTACATCTATACACCCCACCACTCTTCATATTAAGTTTTAGAAATCTCATTCCATCTTTCTGTTTACAAACTCTCACTCTCTCTCTCTCTCAACAATACCCAAGTGTTAGAATTCCAGTTACAGTTCGTGGAGAGAAGTAAAGTTGTTCTATTTCTCTAGAAAGTATTAAATTTCTAATTTGGGGTTTCATTTGTTTGTGTTTTTTTTGCTGGGAACAAGGAAAATTGTGGGGTTTAAATAGAAAATCTATTTTAGTTCTTTATTTTTATTTTTTCAGTTTGGGGTGTATTTAAGGGTAATTTGGGAAGATAGTGAGGTTTTCTTAGAAATTGTGAAAAATTTAATTAAAAGTTGGGGTGAACTTAGAACATGAGGTGAACTAAGAGAAGTGTGAGGTTTAAATAGAAAATCTCTTTATTTATTATTATTTTTTTAATACAAGCGATGATTGGGGAGGGGAAATAAAACCTAAGACCTCAAATGCAGGGATGATTGGGGAGAGGGAATCAAATCTAAGACCTCAAATGTAGGGATAAATGCTGTAAATCACTTATTTTTAGTTGTTATTTTTTGCCCACTTTCTCCGCCGGAAATTTTTAACTCTTGGTGTTTTCTATATACAAAAAACAAAAATCTATTTGTGTTAGAATAAAATTTTGTGATCTACCCAAAGTTGGAATGTTTGAATAAAATTAATTTTGTCTATAGAATTAAACTTCAAGACTTGTAATTTTTTGCCCAACGTCCTATTATACGTTTTGTAAATAAACATTTCAAACGATGCCACAGGGACTAAATTAGATTTAGTTATGAAAAGCTATCTTCAATTATGCAAGTGGGATGGTCGAATGATTGATTTTCTGCTAAATTTTGCCTAAGAAATACTTAATTATGGAATTTAAATGAAAAAGAAGAAAAGGAAAACTTAATCATGAATCCTTGACCCAACTCCCAAGTTGAACATGTTCTTTGCTTCAATTTCAGCCTCACCCACTTTAGAAATACTTGTGGGAAACGGGATAATACTATTTTACTATTCTCAATCAATCACAAATTGCTACGTGAAAAAATTATCACGTATGACATAATTCACCGGAACAGCGTTCCACCACCACCCAAAAAAAAAGTTTCTCCACCCACTTGGGCAGCGTTTGACAAACAAACAAACTAGACATTCTTATTAAAATCGAGCCATCACTATTATATAAAAAGAATCCTACAGGAGACTGCTATTAAAGATCAGGACAGCAGAAAACAGACAAATTAGATTACCTAAACCACCAATTTTCTTTTAGCTTGATTGTACAACATGTGACTGGCTACTTATTGTATACTTTGGAGTCTCACATGCACCTGAAATAGAAGTAGCATCAATTATTCGATCCAATTGAAAACCAGGTGTAACATCCTGAATTATTTCTTGTTGTTGTAGTTTTCCCTTGTGGGATGGCATCGGGCTTGAAGCACAAAATTCAGAGATCCCAAGAAGTACAATAAACCCTCAAAACCAAGTAAACAAAAGACTTTAAGTGAATGGATTAATGTTGTTACAAGTCCGTTGGTGTTCGTGACACTAAAGAGAAGAAAATCGAACATAATACCTCGGATATAATGATAAATATTCTTTAACCACTTACACAATCAATTACAAACTCTCTAACCTATGATGGAAGTAGGACTATACATATGTATATTATATGGTTTCACTCCATCCCATTTTGAGGTACTAACTACAAACAATGACAATTGAATCTCGTAGCCCAAAAAAGACTCACACCCTAATAAGCTGCATAGACTACATATGCAGCTGAACCTGCAAAAGCAGCCAGCTTTAAAGGCCAAATTAAGCTTATAGATGCTGCTGAGGACGCTGGCAATGACCCAAATGGTGAGAGTGAAGAGTAGGGGCCAGGAGAAACCAAGTCGTCCGGATTCGGAGGGCTAGGGTTGGAGGGAATGGTGGGGATAGATGAATCAGTTGGAGTAGCAGGAACCACAGGACCAGGAGATGGCAAAAGTGGAGCTATTTCTGGAGGCAATCCTTGCAAAGAAGATGGAGGAAGATTGGTGATCAAGAATGCTGGTGAAGCTGAGATGCTAGATGAGGCAGAGGAGGCTTTTGAATGAAGGGAAAGCAGAGGTGAGGCCATGAAAGCCATAATGAGAAAAACTATATGGGACCAAAAAGAGGCCATTTCTAATGATGAAGATATCAAAGTTGGGAGAGCGGAGGGCTTATATATTTTGTGCAATCAAAGTTTTTACTAAAAGAGCAGAGTGAATGGGATTTTGTGTGTAGTCTTTTGGTGGAAGTTATGATTTGGGGTCTTTTAAAAGGATGACTAGACTAGGGTGGGGTCCACATGCCACGTGGGTAGTGAAATTTGGATGAATATGAGAAAATACAGGTTGGCATAATTAGGAAAGAGACAAAGATCAAAGATTGGTTAGCATCTTTTGTAATTGGAATCAGATGGTTTTGTTCTTATTTTTCCTTTTGGTCCGTGATCTTGCTGTTCCCTGATTTCTGATAATCCGGAAGCCCAAGTCCTCCTAATCTACTTGACTAGTTTCAATACCATAATCATTGATAATCAACCGTCATCAAATTTATCGGTTTATTATTGTATCAGATTATGTGTTCAAATTCCCTAATAGCATTCGATCGACAAAAATTTGAATTTCATATGGTGCGAACCGTTGATTGGTGTAGGTCCCATCAATCAATATTGCGATTTAACTCAGAAACGTACAAGGCATGAGCATCCTAGAGTAGGAAAAGTTTGGAGAAATATCATGGGAAGCGTTGATTGATGTTATGATTTGTAAATTGACTCCATTACCAATTATAAAAAAAAAATCAGAAATTCAGATACAATAATTCATGTAACCAACCAAACAAATTAAATTTATTTTCTACCATTCTCTAGTCAATCCACAAACTTCCATAGTTCAAAAGCCATTTGCAGGGCCTGACAACAGAAGCGTTTTGATGTCCATAGATTCCCTTCCCATTGGGGTCAATAAACAAGTGTAGTTTAAAATTTCAATGATCAGATTTATTGAATGTAAAAAATGCATAGAAATGTTGCAACATTGGACATTATTGACTCATGATGCAAAGATTTGCAATCATGATAGATTCTCGCATTACGCATTTTTCCAACCGTAGATTAAAAAGGTCTGAGAGGTCAAGGACAACTTACACCCACCCCCAACCCCTCCCCCCAAAATCACGGGTCCATCAAGTGAAAAATTAGATTAAATAATAATAATAAAAAAAATTTACCGACAAATGATGTCCTAACCCAAGGAATTTCACAGGATGGGATTGTCACACTATTCCAGCATGCATGAGCAGTGGATCCAAAGTTTTTTTTTATTTTTTTTATTTATTTGCCAAAGAAAGTCTTTTCTGTTTGTTTTTAGGTAGATGGAATCAGAGTTTGGTCTCCATCCCAGCCAAATCCATGGTTTTCTAGAATTTAAAAAAAATCACGGTTTATCTATCTATATATATAAAGCAAAAGACAGTGAACGGTGAAACATTCAAAATACTATAAAATGTCATTGGTTAATGCAAGCATTAAGAATTGAAATTATTAATTAAATGAGGATAATATAGTAAATTCACACTTTTCATTTTAAAAAAATTATAAAATTAAAAGAAAAATCAAATAATGGATCCTACCCATTATCTTTTTTAATTCTAAAATCAATTTAAATTTTAAAGAGGCCTCTCTGCTTGTGCTAGTATTTCCTTTAGGTACAAGAATTTTGTGACCCCATAAATTTGTAGATTAACATCTTCAAATCCTATCATGGACATCAACTAACCAATCTCATACCACAACTAATCAGCATTTTGATATTAGTCGAACACAGGATTTTGATCAAATTGCAGCCAACTAAATTCCAAGAGAAATATGTATTAAAAGAAACTATATTTAGAATTGCAATGGACATACAAAGTGTACACGGATTATACAATGACATGTCAACCAGAGCTGGATTGACACTAAAATTTTATGCAAAAAAATTAAACTCACCTTCATAAGTTGTTGACCCCTTCTCAGGAACTCAAGAGGCATGTCTTTATGCCATTGTGAAAGCCAATTGATTTGCATACTGCACACCGAAAAAAGAAATCACTAATTTTGAGAGATCATAAATATTATGAAACAAAACAATAGGAAAAAGAAGAAACCATCATATTACCTCTAGCGTTTCACAAGCAGCGAGGCAGCCGTTGCAACTCCACGGCCACATGGAAAGCAGCAGTGGCTAAAACAGGTACACCTGAACCTTTAAGCTCAGAAACAATGCCCTCAATTCTCGAAATCTCGGGTATAGATATCGACAATATCATTGCATGTAGCAAATATTGCCGGCAAGAATAACCAAGTGCATGGAGCACCCGCTGCACCAGTAAGTGAGATGTGCCCCTACGCCAAGACTCAAGGACTGCAGTAACTTTTGGCAGATTAGTTAGAAGACCAGCTGAGGCTTCCCTTGGAGCTGCCTTGAGCAACAAGACCACACATTCGGAAGCTATATCCGCCACATTTCCGCCATGGGATCTACTCAACTCTAGCAAGACACCAACATTGCTGGCAAAGTCCGTGATATCTCTAATGCCTTGTTGATCAGCACCACTTGCCTCGGAGGACACATCACCTATAAGAGCAGGTTCTTTTGAATAGATGAAGCCTTTTCTACCACTCACTGACCGTAAAAGGAAAGCCCTGCATAGGCCAAGGGTTGGTTCCAGAAAATCTTCCATATCTTTTGCGTATACGAACTCTAGAAGGTTTCCTATTTTCCTAACTACCTTTAGCTGAGAAAGTAACTTGGTTTCCATTTCAGGTGCCGAAGTCAGAGCCAGACATAGCATTACATTGTTGACATTCGCACTTGAGAGATCACCAAGCAAAAACTCAAAGCATTGTGAGACTATCTTAAGATCTAGAATGTCTGCAATTTTGATGTAATTAAACTCAATCAGCATCACAAGAAGCTTTTGTGCATACAAGGGGATTGGATCTTCATCTTCAATCAAAGAAGGGTAGAGAGGAAGAAAATTTTTATTGGATATGGATTCCAATTCTTTGGACCTTTGCTCATCCTCAGATTGTTCATTCAGGAAAATAACCATCACGTCAAACAAAATTTTCAAGCACAGAAACCTGGCATCACCATCCTTGTTGCCCTTGTAAAGCACGGCCAAACTGGGGAGGATTTCACGGATAAAAATATCAGGGCTTTCAAGAATTACAAGTGACTCCTCTGACACAGACTCAAGAACTCGAAGAAGGGTAATCTGAAAGTCATCCCTGCCCTGGAAATCAACAGTAAATTATTTATCAGTATCTATGACATCATTGTTCAAAACTCCCAGCTAATAGACGTTTATTCTGTAGCCCTTCACATCAACCCCACCCCCTTGTCCATAGGATTCAAGTCCAAGACCACACAACTAAAAGGTGCCCACTTAAAAATAATGGCATGGTTTACTAGTGATTCGTGTAAAAATGTCTGGTTGTCACTTGTTCGTGCATTTTAACAACCTATTACAACCTGGGATTACTTGCCAAGACACAGTACCTGAGCCAGGCAAGTTACATATCATCCCAAGTTCCAATCATTAACAGTTGGCTGATCTAAGCCATTTTGGCATTACTAATTTTTCATATCCAAATTAAACGTCTACCTTGGATTAGCCAGATAACAAAAAGACTAGCAATGACTAAACAACAAAGAATGGTTGGGCTGCGGCCACCTACCTGAAATGTGGTCTCCACGAGTTTAATTAGATTTGCCAACTGCTGCAGGACCTGATCACTCACCACCTTGCGCTTAAAAGACGAGCTCCGAAGAAGATGGAGAACTACAGGAAACATATGAACATTGGTCTTTGCGGCAACTCTACTGTTCAGGGGAGATAGATGCCCATGGCGCCTTCCTCCCATCATTTGCTGTATTTCTCCTGTTATAGTATCCAGTAAACTGGGTATAGTAGATGCCACAACACACACGGATGCATCTAAACACTGCTGCACATAGTGGTCCTTCTCTTTTGCCAACCTGTCCACGGCAGAAAGTAACTTGGCATTGCAAAACAAATGTGGCAGCCACCTCCTACCATTCTTACAAAGAAGAGCAACAAAAACAAGTGCCTTTCCCTTCAACACCTCACTTCCTTGATCGATAAGAGACACAAGACCTGGGACAAGATTCTTATCCTCCATCAATGGCAGGAGCTGCCTGCCAATATTAGTGAACATATGACTTCCAAGCATGGCCATGTTTAAAAGGTTTAAGCTGATTTGCTGCTCACGTAGACTGCCTTTCACAAGAGCCGATGCTATTTCTTTTAAAGAGAGCTTCTCTATTACTGGTTGAATGCTAGGTGGATTGAAACGAACAAGACGGACTAAACACGATCCTGCTGTGAGCCTCATGCTCTCCTGCTTCCCAGCAGCCCTATATAAATAGCACAGGTTATTAATCATGTCCTGGCTAGTCAAACGAGCTGCCCAGTGCCCTGCTTGACTGCAAATATTTTCAATTGTCCTCAATGCATATAGTTGAGTTAAATCATCCTCTCCTTTGCGCAAAATTGATGACACCAACGAAAGTAATGAATTTGAAACCTGCCCGAGGTAAAATAAGTTATCAATCAAGAAAATATAAACAAAAGAGCATGAAAGAGGAAAAAAAAAGAGTTTTTTTTTAAAACTAAAGCATATACACATACAATATGGAACTCCATCTTTTACTCATGTAAAGAGTAGAATTACATGCTGTACATAGTATAACAGTCATTCATTTCATCATAAGTTGCATAACCAACAAATTTATTGCAATAACGTAGGAAGCTAACCTGCCACCCGGATGTGGACCGGATTTCCTTTGATGGAGACTCTGCTGGATTGTTGTCTCCAGCTTGCTCACTTTGAGTAGATATATAGAATAGCAACTCACCTAAAGCAGCCATAGAAAACCTCCTCACTTTTTCCTGCTTGTCTCTAAGGCCATCGGCAAGTGAACCCAAAATTCCGGAATTTGCCAAATCATCTTGAATAAAAGTTGAATGGCGAATCAGCAAACCAACCAGAGAGGCAAGTTGGACACGCAAAGCCAAAGCCTTGGACAGCCG